TAGCATCTAACAGAGAAGTGAACATGAAGCAGACCTTAGCAGTGTGATCATCAGAACCGGTAATTAGATAGGGCTTGTCACCACCAGTGAAATAATCCACACAATTGACTCCTTTCTGATGGGCATCCAATGTAAAATTTGGGTCTGGAGAACCAAGATTCCAGATCTGAAGATGAACAAGCATGTAAACAAAGAGTGAATGAGCTAACACTTTTGAGAAGCATCCGGACTAGGCCACAATCAAATTACAAGAATAGACCATTTCAAAACCTTTATAGTACGATCAAGTGATGCACTGGCAAAAGTGTTGGTGTCTTTTGGATTAAATGTGACTTGCATCACATAGTGCGAGTGTCCCTCGAATATCTGAGTGCACGCCCAACCCTTTTCCCAGTCCCAAAGCTTAATGAGCATATCATCAGAAGATGACAGAACATATGGAAGGGTTGGATGAACAGCCACACATCTGATGTAGTCTGAATGAGCCTCAAACACTTTAACCTTGTCCATGGTATTGTAATTGTACACACGGATATACAGATCATCAGCTCCAGCCACAACCCACTGCTTTCGTGCAATAAACTTGGCTGACCGAACTGCAAAGTCATAATACAAGAGCTAAGTAAAATAACAAACTAAACAAGTACATACAACAAGAAAGAAGTAAAACTCAAAACGCTATAGTTAAAGAAGCAAAAGACCGAAATGTAAATACCTGGTAAATCGGTCACCTCGAAAGATTTTGCCATCACCTGAGGATCATCATTCATCAGATAGGAATAGTTTGAAGAATCATAAGAAACAGTAAAAGAAAAATCTATCATAACACTGCAAAACCGCATAGTATACAGAAGTTCACAAACTGTTCGCTGAAAAACAGATAAATACAATCAAGTGATTCACACACACACACCTGTGTCTGGTAGTTCCAAATGCACAAGGTTCCAGAATACAAACTTGCTAAAATCCTGCAGGAAATAAAGTGTGATATTAATCTGGTTCCAATCATGAGTAGCAGTGAATAAATGTAAAAACAACAAAAACTATAAAAATGAAAAGCTTGAAAATTACCATGGTTCAGTGGGATGCAGATCCACAGATTTCACTCTCTCAGACCTTTGAGCTAACTTTTTCTGATCCAGAAAAAAAAAAACAAATTACTAAAACACATAGTGGATCACAAAACCAGAAGGAATGATCTTAAAAAAAAAAGAAAGTTGTCAAATACCTTAATCTCGAGTCTGAGAGGCTGTTTTCAACAAAAAGAAAGAAAGCAGTAGTCAGCACTAGATCGTAAATATATAAACTACAGATCATTCAAAAAAAAATACACTCCATTTCAGATTATACAAAACGAATCGGAATATTCGATCTGCGACTCAAATTACACGCTTAAATCAAAGATGAAAGCGAGATCTCGAATCGTAGCGGATTGATTCACTCGAGATCTGAAGAGGATGAAAGAGAGATCGATCGTCATTACTCACCATGATTACAGATTAAGCAGCGGAAGAAAGGCCGTTGCGCCCTTCGGATCTCTCGTATTGTCGCCTTAAATCTCTGAATCGCGGATCGAAGAACGAACGATGTTAGCTTCGTCTGTGTACTGCTAACAGAAAGAGAGAGATTAAAGGACATTTTTGCTTAAGAAATAAGGACGACTGAGTAGGCAATTTACGATATTGCCACTGTAGGTTGGGCCTTCCTCTTTCTTAAAGGCCTATTATATAACTCATTAATCAACTTAGTCAAACACAAAAAAAAAAAAAAGGTTATTTGTGAAATAACAAAAAATTCAGAGATAGGATGAGAAAAAATGAGAGAAATGTGATTTTGGTTAGTACGTGAATTTGGGTTTTTGTTTTTATATTGGATGTAATTTCTGATAATAAAAAAATCTAAACAGTTACCAAATCTATACTATTATTTAAAAAGTAAATTTGCTTATTTGTCAAATTCTTATTTAAAAAGTAAATTTGTTTATTTGTCAAGTTCTTCATGATTTTAGGTAATTTTGTTTATTTGTCATATTTTTAATAATTTTATATATAATTTATTGTATGATAAAACGAATTTATATTAATAATATTATATTTTTTAAATAAGATAATTCTTCTATATTATATTATTATCTTGACAAATTATATTTTATTCTAAAAATTAAGATATAAGGTTATAATCAAATATAAATCAAGCAATATTGATTTTGTCAACTTTTCCATGATTTAGTTAATTTTTTTATTTTTCATGTTTTCATAATTTCATATATAATTTATTATATAATAAAACAAATTTATATTAATCATATTTTAGAAAATACGATAAATCTTATGTATTATTTTATTAACTTGAAATTATATTTTCTGTTAAAAATTTAAGTGAATTTGCTGATTTATAAATTTTTCATGATTTAGATAATCTCTATAATATTATTTGAGAAGTCACTTTCTTAGGTGTCGCGCTTACGTTAATTTTCACGCTGGTTGATTACTATGATACCCCTAATGAATTAAAATACAATTAAATATTATTTCCTTTTTAAAAAATTTCAAATAACAATATAAAATAAAAAGGAAACATTTATAAAATTTACAAAACTATTTAAAAACAAAAATATAAGTATATATAATATGGTTTAATAAAAAAAGGAAAGTTCACAAAATAGTAATATTTAATTTAAATATATTTTAAATAACATAAAATATACATTTGAAGTAATAAAATACTTTATATCTATATCTTCTTAGATAAAAAAAATAATATCTGTATATAATGTGATTTCATATAAAAAAATCACACAAAAAAATATTGCTGATATATATATTTTAAACAATAAAATATATATATTTCAAAATAACTATTTTTGTATACATTTATCTATTTTATTAGATGATTACATAAAATAATCAACTAACATAAACTGATATATGTTTAATTGACATTTTTTATAATTAGTATTATTGAAATTATTTTTTTAGTATATTTATTTGACTATAATATCTTACAATTAGTGTAAAATATAAATTCTATTTTACTTATATAGTATAATTTCTCAAAAACAATCACTTTTTACTGACTATTTTAAGAGATAATAAAAATAAAACTAAAAACAATTTAATAGTAAACATATTTTGATCAAGTAACTACAATTATTTTAAAATATCATAACACTATATAATTTAACGAGGTAGATATATTATATTTTAATAGTTAAAATTATATGTTTTAAGAATAAGGATTCTAATTTACTTAAGTATTTTGATTATTGTTATATTAAGTTTCACAAACATAAAAGAAGAAAATAACTACAATTATTTTAAAATACCATAACACTGTATAATTTAACGAGGTAGAGATATTATATTTTAATAGTTAAAATTATCTGTTTTCTTAATAAATCTTTTGATTTTCAATTTTCTGTTTTTATGTTTGTGAAACTTAATATAACCATAGTCAAAATACTTAAGCAAATCAGAATCCTTATTTTAAAAATTATTTAAAATAAATTTCAGTTTACCATCCAATCAATCTAAAGCATAAATTTATTTAGAATTTATAAAATATTTTAATTATTGTACATATTGATATGTGTTCAAAAGCTTCTAAAAATTCATTAGTTACTTATGTATGTAATTTAGAATCAGACACTTTAGTTTTTATTTTTCCTTCTAAGCACAAAAAAATCTTAAGTTATATATAATCTTACTAAATATACTTATATTTCTAAGATAACAACTAGCATAAATGCAAATAATACAATTAATCAAAAATTTAATATATTTAAAATATAAAAGATTATAGTTGAATTCAGAGAAATATATAGAATCCAATATATCTAAATGATAACTAAATCGACCGTAAAAACAATAAAACAGACCACATATAACATATGAACAATTATATATATAATTAAAGTAATATAATATTATATAATTAAAGTAATATAATATTATAATATAAATTAGACATACAAATTATAAATTAATTTAGAAATTAAAAAAATATCAATCAATTATTATTGTACATTTATTTTATAAATACACATGCCCGTGCATGAGCACGGGAAAATCACCTAGTTTTACTTACTTGTCATGTTTTTAATAATGTCATATATATTTTGAACTATAATAAAAATGATGGTCTTTTAATAATGTTATACTAGGTGATTTTTTCGTGCTCATGCACGGGCATAAATATTTATAAAATAAATATATTATAATAATTGATTGATATTTACTTTAACTTTTATATTAGTTTATAGTTTTTATGTATAATTTATATTAATAATATTATATTATTTTAGTTATATATAATTTTATATATATTATATTTAGTCAGTTTTATCATTTGGATATATATATATATATATATATATATATATATATATATATATTGGATTCTATCTATTTCTCTGAATTCAACTATAATCTTTTTTATTAATTGTTATATATACATTTATTTTGGTTGTTATCTTAGAAATATAAGAATATCTTATTAAGATTATGTATTTTAAGATTTTTTGTGCTTAGAACGAAAAAATAAAAACTAAAGTGTCTGATTTTTAATTACATATATAAGTAATAATAAATTTTTGGAAGCTTATGAACACATATCAATATTATAATCAAATAAATATACTTATTTTTTTTGTCAATTAAACATATATCAGTTAATGTTACTTAATTATTTATGTAATCATCTAATAAAATAGATAGATATATACAAAAACTAATTACTTTGAAAATATATATTTTATTGTTGAAATTATTTTTTTAAAGAAAAAATATTTCTTTTTCTAATATCAAGATTATTTGTATGAAATTTGTAAATGAAACACATTATATACAAAATCTTTTTCATCTAAGAAGATATAGATATAAAGTATAATTACTTAAAAACTATAATTTATGCTATTTAAAAATATATTTAAGTTAAATATTACTATTTTGTAAACTTTCCTTTTTTTATGAAACCATATTATATATATACTTATTTTTTTCGTTTTTAAATAGTTTTGTAAATTTTATAAATATTTCCTTTTTGTTTTATATTTTTATTTGGAAGATTTTAAAAAGGAAATAATAATATTATTTATTAAAGAAAAAATATTTCTTTTTCTAATATCAAGATTATTTATATGAAATTTGTATATGAAAACACATTATATAGAAATTTTTTTCATCTAAGAAGATATAGATATAAAGTATAATTACTTAAAAAGTATAATTTATGCTATTTAAAAATATATTTAAGTTAAATATTACTATTTTGTAAACTTTCTTTTTTTATGAAACCATATTATCTATACTTATTTTTTTCGTTTTAAATAGTTTTGTAAATTTTATAAATATTTCTTTTTTATATTGTTATTTGGAAGATTTTAAAAAGGAAATAATAATATTTAAATATCTTTTTAATTCATTAGGGGTATCATAGTAATCAACCAGTGTGAAAGTTAACGTGAGTGTGACAGCTAAGAAAGTGACTTCTCAAATAATATTATAGAGATTTGGAAGATTTTAAAAAGGAAATAATAATATTATTTTTTAAAGAAAAAATATTTCTTTTTCTAATATCAAGATTATTTATATGAAATATGAAAACACATTATATAGAAATTTTTTTCATCTAAGAAGATATAGATATAAAGTATAATTACTTAAAAAGTATAATTTATGCTATTTAAAAATATATTTAAGTTAAATATTACTATTTTGTAAACTTTCCTTTTTTATGAAACCATATTATCTATACTTATTTTTTTCGTTTTAAATAGTTTTGTAAATTTTATAAATATTTCATTTTTATATTGTTATTTGGAAGATTTTAAAAAGGAAATAATAATATTTAAATATATTTTTAATTCAGTAGGGGTATCATAATAATCAACCAGTGTGAAAGTTAACGTGAGTGCGACACCTAAGAAAGTGACTTCTCAAATAATATTATAGAGATTTTTAGAAAATAAGATACTTCTTATATATTTTATCTTGAAAATAAAATTTTCTATTATAGAAACAAAAAATTATAATATAAAATTATAATTAAATATAAATAGAAGAAAACATTTGTATAAATATATTTTAAAAAAATTTCTTCTATGTGAATGTTATTATTTATAATTAATTTGTAAATATAATCATAATTTATTATATTGTTTTTTAGTTAAAAAAACATAAACTGATAAGTATTTGTAAGAAAATTATGTCTGCATGTGCAGATAAAACATCTAATATTCACATGTTTTATAAGAATCTAGATAATACATTTAAATGATATATTACCCCCGACTAAAGTCTACAATAACATAACAATGGGATTTGATAGAACATATATGTACGTACATTTTTCTTTTTTCTTTTGCTTTGTACTCTTTTAAATGAGGAAAGTGTTGAGTGCAGTAGATGGATGTAACAGCAAATATGATGTCTCAAAATTTGCTAAAGTTGGTGAAATTAATAGTGCATAATTTAACAGAGACATCATATAATGCAATGCATACACCTTTTATTTCATTATTTTCTTATAATATAATTAATATACCATTTATTTCGTTACCTTTATCATATACTTATATTAAATTATAACGAAGCAGTAATAAATACTTAAAAATAAGCATGGACTTACGTACGGAACATGCTTAAATTTCTACAACCGAACAGTTATTAATCTCCATATCCCAGGCATTCGTGACATGATGTGCTTCATTCGAAGTGACTATGTCACCATACATATTTTCTTCTCGTGTTTGTAATGCAATCTCTGTGCACCATATAAATTTAGGAAAAAATAACATTGTAAGTCAAATTTTGACTTGTAAATTACACCTTAAGGCACATTGTGCTTGAGATATACTTTTTAGTGTTTATTTGTCTATTTTATCCTTCTCCCATTATGAGATACTTGTTGCTTTATTTGTCTTAATTCTTTCATTATTGGTTATGTCCCAACCAAAGCCTCTCTCTTTCTTGAATTAATTAATTTGTTTATAAATATCTTTCTTTTAATATATTAAATACAAAAAATAAATAAACATACATGTTGATCGGAGAGAAAGTTTGTGTATGTTATGGCATTAGATACTGGTGGATGTGAAGAGGATACAAGAAACTGGAAAGGCTTTTGAGATACAAGGCAAAGCTTAGGGTGAAGAACGGCGGAGATATAGTGGTTGTATCAGATAAAGAGAATTACGAGGATGATCCGTATTTGGAGAGAGATCGGCATATGGCGAGCTCTCGTCGTGTGGAAGAGGAAGATGGCGTCGGGATATTGCTTCCAAGTGGCCCATGGCGTCGTCGGGCTCCAGCTCCTCCTCCTCCACAACGCCGGTGAGCCACGCCATGGATTCCAAGCTCAAGATCTTCGTGGATGGCTGAATCAATCGATCCGACTAGGAGAGTTCGATCAATCTTCTCCAGACCAATTTCTCCATATTTGCAACCTTGGTCCTTATATTTTAAATTGTTCGTGATTTTCCCAATACTTTCCAATTTTTCAGATTTCTTCTCGTATTGACCCCAAAATATTTAAATGTGCCGTTTAATCCTTACATTCTTTGGTTATTCTTAACTGAACACGAAATCCCAAATTGCTTTTCTAATTTCTAAATATGCATTTTAGCTTATGTTTAAAGAACACTTAAATTCTAAGGACAAAACCTAGATTACAATACATATTAACTAAACCAACTCATACTTAATAAAAATCTGTTCACATGAATTTCTCCATAGTCCACAAGCATCTATCCACAATGTTTTTACCTAAACATATCTTGTGCACATATTCTAATTTTTGTGTGTACAAAATATATCTTGTGCACATATTCTAATTTTTGTGTGTACAAAATATTATAAACAACGTATAAAGGATATGTAAAAAAACTATTTCAAAGAATCACCGTGCTTGTTGTTGTGGAGATGGAGTTGCCGGAAAAAGAGGTTGGTGTTGACTAATCAAATTATCTAAGATGAACCCGTCCACAAAAACATGAACCCATCCACAAAATATGTCCACACTAAATCTACAATACAAGCTCCACACAAAACATATCAACGCTAACATGTCATCACCAAAATGTCCACAATATTTTTTTAGTAATCTATAACTTTTCCGTCCACAACATTTTTTACCAATCCACAATTCTTTTGTCCACAACATCTTTTCTAATAAATTTCAAATTTCATAAAAATATTAAAGTATATATATATATGGATATCAAAATAAACATAAAAGAATATACAGTTTTTGTTTTCATAGATTATATCTTTTCAACATATTAAAAAACTAAATAATTAAGTATTAAATATAATGGGGTCATCACATATACTACCTAACTCCTCTAACAAAAGTAAACTAAAACATTGATATTTTCATCTTACTAACTCGTAACTCATCTTCAAACAAAAAAAGACACTTTATTCCAGAAACAACCTAGGAATCTGTGAATGTGTCTCTCCTTCCTAAAGTGACTCTCCATGTAAAAGAAACTCAAAAACTGCCTTAATATGTAATGCACTCTACATTTAGCGACAAGATTGTGAACAATCAGTAACCACCGTAATTTACCAACTTAGTGGACATTTGCAAGGTTAAGTTTCTTGGTGAGCACATACCAATCCTTTGGCTTGCTAAGCCAACATAGAATACAGATTTTAAGTGTGTAATACGAGGTCTAAATTAAACAAAGAATATATTTTGGTCGTTAGAACAAAAATATTATTTATAAGCAATTTATAAGAAAATATTAGTAATTTTTTTTGGAAAATATAATATTAAAAAATGAAAAATATTCCATAAAACTTATATAAGTGTTGAGCCAATCTTAGATCACACAAGAATTATAATAGTTTAAACAGCATATATGCTAAAATGTAAAAAATTATTTCATATTAATATTTAGTGTATTTTCTGTGAATTGAGGATACATTTGTAAAATGAGTTTTTTTCCTTTTTGCAGAAAACTCTAATATAATAATACAAAAATTCAAAACAAAAATATCATACTTGCATAAAATATTAAGGACTCATTTGATGGTGAATGAAGCCTAATTCAAGTCATTCATCAAGCAATAGTAGCAATAACATGCATTAAATCACCTTTCTTAGTACATGTAAATACAACAAGACACCATTCAACTGTTCCACATATCTCCGATTTTTGGTGTCTTTCAAATGAAGTACACCAAACTAATGTTGTGTTTTGACCATTCTTAGTATGCACATGCTTTTCCCACAAAAACTTTATTTTTCCACCATAATCTGCCAACTGATAATGATCAGTATTTCGAGACCGAGGGAGTCTTCCTCTCAAATTAAAATTAAAAAAAAAAGCTAGGGTTGTGTAAAGATATTAAATGTCAATAGTAATACTGATACTCAACCAATTGCATTTTATTTTATTTTTTGTCTACAAACTATTTTTGACTCCAGTTTGGTTGAAAAATGAATATGGGATTTGCAAAACTATGCTTTGGATATCCTTATTATTAACATTCTATTTTTTTTCTTCTTGTTTTTTTTTTGGTCAACAGTTACACATCAAATCGACAAGATAAAGAATGTGTTCTATCAAAAAAGACCAAGATTGCAAAAGGCGGAATTGAGACTATACGCAACGAACAGAGAGTGTAAGACTCCTTTGCTTCAGGGGATACAAGCCGCTGAATCAGTGACAATGATGAGAAGCATATAGTATACATGTTTATATGTTTTTGTAAGATACTTTAAAATTATAGAAAACTGCATAACTTGTATATGTTAATGAATAATTTAGAACTGACGAAAAAAATGTAGAAGCTATAAAGGCTTATAAATTATTTTAAAGACTTAAAAGATGATACTGCAACAGTATGCATTAAAGTGATCTCCTCTGTCATCCTTGCAACTGTGTCAAACTGGATATAAGCAAAAAAAAAATGCAACACACCCAGCAAGCATTCCATAAACACTGTAAGGAAAATGCGTAAGAAACCAAAACAATATGTTTCATATTACAGCTTAAAGTATGATGTTGGTGAAGAATAATGAATGCTTTTCTTCTTTTTAATCTCCTATCCTTTTTTGAGTATCAGATTTATTATTATGTTAAAATAGGGAAGAACTCATCTTTGTACATTCTAAATTTAGACTTAAGAGAACTATTCTTTAGCTTTCTTTCTACTTTAACAACTTTAAATTTGGAGAGTTTGAAAAGCTAAACATATAACACAAGTTTCTTGCTCTAAATTTTGGCAACTCTTTTATTTGATCATCTGTTTTGATATTCTTCTTTGACAGTATGGTGATGGATAGGGAAGAAAGGAGAAGAAGAATCATGGAAAGAGGATCAGATCGCCTAGCTCTAATCACAGGCCAATTACAAAATATTGACCCTTCCTCGCCATCGTTTTCTTCCTCATCATCAACTTCTCACCAACGTACATACAGTGAATCTTTCATGCCACAACCTCAATCTGAGCACCGTCAGATTCAAGAAAGCCCATCTCTTAAGTATCAATTCAAAGGTACACAAACTATAACTGCATTTGCGATCTTGTTGTATTCTTTGTATGATGCCTCTTCTTGTGTATTACGTTTACATGTTTTATTCTTCCACCAACTTTTTTTTGTAATCAGTGAAATTATAATGCTGTTGTTTCAATTTGTAATTTTTAATCTCAAACATAAAAAAAAAACCTTAACTTGCATTTTACACACTGCATTTTGTTACGGTTATAGAAATTTAAACACCATGCATTAGTTATGAATGTGTTTGTTTATGTGCTGTAATGCTGTATACTCTATTGATTGTCAAAGTGCAAAGAAACTCGAATTGACTCTTACTACTGGATCAACAATAGCCAAATCATGTCAAGTGGACTCTCTTAGAATGTCACCATGTTTAAAGCTCGTGTAATTAAACCTTAAAACTAATAGGAAACGAATAATTGTTTCATGTTTTTCTAATTATTTTAGATGTCAGGCTCATAACACATTTTTGTTTAAAAATAGCTAAACTGATTAATGGTTATTGTCCCTAATTTATACTCATGATGAGTGCAGAGGTAGTAATGCCAAAAGAAGAACCAAAACTCTCAACCACTATTCACAAACCCATTGAAAGTGAACTAACAAAACCAGAAGAAATAAGATCAGTAAAGAGTCAAAGTCAACGACCTATAACTTTCTTCAGCTCCAAGAAACTCAATGCTAGCATCATAAGCTCAGAAAGAAGTCGGAGTATAAGCTCCCTCACAATAGCTGCGTTCGTGATTTTACTCCCGAAGTTAAACATTTTAAGATCAGACACTATCTTAGCTTTGAGACCGCTTTGGTTGCTTCTGCTTACAAATTGTGCTATAGTAATGTCTCATCTCACCGTGGAAGCCTCTGGAGGAGGATTGAGTAATGAAATGGAAGAAGAAGTTAAAAGTAAAGATGGTAGTAGTGGTGAAAATTGGTCTGATGCAGAGAAGCTTCTTGAAAGAGGAGTTGTTGTGTATCAAGCTCTACGTGGAATGTTCATCGATTGTAGTCTTTATATGGTGGTTGTTATTTGTGGAGCCTTTCTACTTTGAGGTTTTTATTTCAAATTATTTTACTGGAATTTATTTAATTAAGATTATTTCTTTTTCATTCTCTTTCGTATCAGAAGATTTTCTTTTGAATTTTTCTTTGATTAAACACTTAGTTTCTGGTCCAATTTCTTTAAGTATTTTCCAAAATGATAAAATTACTGAGTCATATTTTTATTCATTTAGATTTATTTTCATATTGTTTAATAAACTTTTAAAATCATATTCTTATTCATTTATATTTATTTCCCTAACTGCAACTTTAAATCTTGAGATAAGGTTAAAAACATCACGTCTTAAACACAAAAAACAAACATGTCTTTAGTCCCAAAAAAAAAAACAAAGTAAACAATAAAAAAAACTTTGTAAATCCTACATCTTCTCGCTACATTTTTTTTCATTTTTGAAACAAAAATCTTACTATAGTGAGTAAATCAGCCTAAGAGTCTGAATGTTAGCTTTCGAAAGTTTAATGAATAAACGCTTCTAGTGGTAAATCACAAAATATTGAACGAAATATTATTAGAGCATCTTTATCCCTAAATCCCATTTTGGATTTTTTTAATTTTTTTTCTCTGTTTAAAAAAAAATTAAAAAACACTAATTTCTGATTACCACGTATCAGTGGAGCTCGCAAACAGTGTCAAAAACCTACATCAAACGATCCTGCAATTACACCTTTGGTAACTTGTTTTTATGTTTTAATGGAACTTACGCATTATTCTTTTGAGAGAAATCCCAATAATAATGCTCTTAGAGCATCCACACCAATATGGTTCTATATGAATTTCTTCCCAAAAAGTATTAAAATATATAACAACTAGGGGTTTGCCGGCGCTACGCGCCGGATTTTTATACAATGATATAAATTTTAGTAATTTTCAAACAATATTTTGGTGTTTTAATAATAAAAATTATCAATCATATAAAGACATATTTTTTTCTATTTATGCATTCATTGTTTTAGATTATTTTAAAATAGCAATACAAAAATATTTAACCTTTCACGTAAATTGATCTTTGACCCTTTTAATAATCTTTGTTACTTTGACCGGATTTTTAATAATTGGATATTATGTTCCTAAATATTGGAAAGATATACAATGAATTTTGAATGAAATAGAAACAAAGTAAATACTATTGATAACGGGTACATTAATCTAAAACACTACAATACAACAAAAATGCATTAAAATCGAGACTCAAATATGGTTTTGTTTTCATTTGACAGAAATTTTTTTCCGACAACATATTCCAATTTCAGGGAGATCATAATTTAGGATCGAGACTAAAATATTTGAATCATATTATACTTTCACCATTTAACACAACATATTTTTTTTTTAAATAATACTATTTTACTCTTCTATATATGCACTAAGAGTAAATCTCCTACTTAAATTTATGGATTATTTTAGTTCTGTTATATTTCAAATCTTGAGAAATATTTTATTTATATTTTAGAAATTGTTCAATGAAAATTTAGTTGAGCTGAAATGATAGACAAAATGGTTTTATAATTTGGACATTCTGATAGAATCTATACTATTATTTAAGAAGTAAATTTGCTTAGTTGTCATGTTGTCCATAAGTTTAGGTAATATTGTTTATTTATCAAATATTTAGTAAATAAGATAATTCTTGTGAGTTATGTTATTATCTTGAAATATATTTTTATATATAAATCAAAAATTTTAAATTAAGATATAAAAACTATTATATTTATCTAAAATTAATTTATATTAATAATTTAATATTTTTCTAAAATAAGATAATTATTATGGATTATGTTGTTATGCTGAAAATAAATTTTTCTATTATAAAACTTAAAATTAAGATATAAAAATTATATTATTAATAATTATATATAAATCATCAAAACAGTTATTTGAAAAGTGAATTTGTTGATTTGTCTCCAAAATCCTAGGTAATTTTGATCATTTATCAGAATTTCTATAATTTTGTTTATTATTGATTATATAATTAAAAAAAATTTCTATTAATAATATGATATTTTAGAAAATAATTTAATTCTTATGTATTATGTTGTTATGTTTAAAAAATATTTTTCTATTATAAAATTTAAAATTAACATTTAAAAAATCTATAATATTATTTAAGAAGTGAATTTGATATTTGCTGATTTTTCATATTTTCCATGATTTTAGGTAATTTTGATAATTTATCATAATTTATATAATTTTAAATATACTTTATTATATATTAAAAAATATACTAATAGTATCAGATTCTTAGAAAATAAGATATTTCTTGTGTATTAAGTTGCTGTCTTGAATATATATTTTCTCTATTAGAAATTAAAATTAAGATCTAAAAATTTGTATTTATTCTATAATTAAATTAAATTTACACTAATAATATTATACTTCTAGAAAATAAGGTAATTCTTATGTATTATGTTATTATCTTGAAAATATTTTTTTATATTATATAATTTAAATGTAAAATCGTAAATTATTTATTATTAAATAAATATAAATCATCACTCCATGATTTTAGGTAATTTTAATTAATGTCATAATTTCTAGCATTTTATATAATTATTATATAGTTAATTTTTTTATCATATTATATTTTTAGAAAATAAATAACTTATGCATTATATTGTTATCTTGAATATATGTTTTTCTATTATAAAATTTAAAAATAAGATATAAATATTATAATTATAGAAATCTATTCTTTAAAATATTTCTGATGTTTGAGTTTTGTCATTGATAATTATTTGATGTCTGATTTTTACTTTTTGAAAAAATAAATAATAACTTATTATGCTGATTTTTAAATTAATGAAATATCAAATAATAAATATTCATAAGAAAATTATGCCCGCAAGTGCGGGCAAAACACCTAGTAATCACTTTAATTACCATTGTATGTTTGATGTTTCTGCTCATACGAACGTATATTTGATGTAGTTTAGCATAAATATGCCTGATATGTATATTATGAGTATGTATGGGAGACTAATCAAGTTATTAGGCGTGCTCCTTGTTTAGAAGTAAGATTGTTGGAAAGAGGAAGCATAAGACGTGCTTTCCATTGATCTCAAATGTTTAGAAGCAAGATTGTGATATAAATAAACAAATGGTTAAATGACTAAGAAGATAGAACAGAGAGAAATAGACTTAGATTTTTATAATATTTCTTTTAGTTATTTTAGTTATGATTATATAAATGTGACAATCTAATATATATATATATATATATATATATATATATTTTAATGACATTATAGAAGTTTAAGATATTTCCCATATCATTTTAGGAATAAAAATGTTTCTCAAAGATATGAAGATAATTAATTGTATAATTAACTCATGGGTCATTGATTTTGTTTTAAAAATAAAAATAAATTTATTTACGTAATATATTAGCATTTATTTTTCCAAAATGTGCATTCAAGATAGAATAGTTGTGATCTATTTTTTGAATCATACTTAGTTTGAAGAAAATAATTGCTAAAATCAAAATTAATTAAAACTTTATGAAAGTCTATTTTTCTTTTTTTGATTATCCACTTGAGATTTTCTGGTCTCTTGAAGCTTCATCACGGGTGTCATGGGATTAGCATGTTGTTGATGAGCTTCTAAACAAAAACTCAGTGTTGGTCTATAATCTCTGATCAAGACTTGCAGCCTCTAGAAGCTAGGTGTTTGTGATGTGGCGGTGATTAGAGGGTGAACATTTGTTCTTGCAGTGTCCTGCACCCTTGGGCACAGTCCTCATAGTCCCTTAGACAGTCCAGTATATATGATAGGCTTTGAAGAAATGGTGAGGCTGGTTTCTGTTGTAGTTGTTGTAATAACATAACTTATTGTCCATGCTCTTCAATCTTGGACACAATAGAGCCTTGGTTTCTTCTGACTTTTACCGTATGCCGCCTGCTGATGGTTCTCACGCGCTCTCTCTCACTCTGATCCATTGATGTCACCTCAAAAAGAAAAAAGTCTGGAGGTGGTAAGTATTATATTATCAGATTTGTTCTGAGCTATTACGAAATTAGCATGAGACAAACTAAGTGAAGTGTTTCTTCTTTTTATGTTACTTATGAGTAATTGACATTATGACTTAACAGGAGCATCAGATAGGCATTACATGCCTAGTTAAGTGGTTGTTGGGATGGTTGCATCGATGGTGCTCGTGTGTCAGCAAACTCCCACATGTAAACTGAGTGGTAGCAGCAGAATCATGTTTTAATTGTTCTCAGCCTCTTACTAATATTTTAAGTAATTGATGCAAGGACTCCAATAGATTATGGATAATATTACATATTATCTGAATAATATTATGGTTTGTAAGCCTTGCAAGTGCTTGTATAATCTGAAACAGATGACGTAAAGATGCAAATAGTATCAACAACTACTTTGTTTCATGAGCTTGTAGACTCACAATCAGAAGAAAGAAATGTCAAAACAGACATACAATGTCTGAAAAAGAAAATACAATATGCACAATAATAGTATCAAGCTAAGCAACAATCTTGTCTCTAGACGGAACAGAAAGCTAAACATAATATTACCAAAAACCAAGCAATACTGGTTTAAGAAGAAACACAAAACCAAACAAACCAAACTTTTAATCTATAAAGACATTCACTATTGCTAAAAAGGTATTGGATTGACAGAAGAAGTAAACAACCACGACAGTTACTCTTTTTCATTAAAAAAGTTTAAACGGAGTTGCAGAACACCGAGTCTTTAAAAACAAAGGAAATAGATTGCAACAAAGTTGAAATACGCTTAGAGATTAATTGACAAAGAGAAGACCTGGTTGATTCGGTTCGAAGAGGAGACTCATCCGAGGGGTGCTTTCTTGGGGGCATTATCTTCGAGATCAACTTGTTCTCTCGCATGTGATATGGTAGCGGAACAGTTCCGTAGGTATGGTCCTAACAGTCAGTGTTAGTTTTTCCAACGAAGTATCATCAGTGAAACAAACGTATGGAGAGGCTAGTCAGATAAGGGGTATTTTGGCTTGCTACTGGATGACATCAAACCCGCTTAGCGTGTAGCAGACCCCCCAGTGAGCTGTTGTCTGAATCTGAGCTGTTGAACCGCACCAGTACTTCCTTCTATAAACGTTGACTGTTTGAAAGGCATTAAAAATATATATGAAAATTGGAGTGAACGTAATTGTAGGAGGTCACAAAAAACAAAAACTCTTACATTCTCATCAATGAGCAACATCTCAATACTCACCAGTTCCCCGCGTTTGTTGATATTTCCCTCCTCCCAAAAACCTCAGTAGACAAACCTCCGGAGTGTTACAGCAGCGTCCCGCTCTGAGATCGGCAAGGAGAGTGTATGAAGCCGTTATTTGGCGGAATTTCTGTTAGAACTAAAGATACTAAGATTCTTGTTGCTGTTGTTTGAGGTGCTCTTTCCATGCCTGTAAGGTAAGATATTTATACTGGACGCTCTAAGCGTTTACACTGAATGACGAAGAGGTGAATTGAATGAGCGGAGGAGTGGGATAATCATGGTGAAACCCATAGTTAAGCACGAAATAATGAATAGCCAAAACGTTACAGGATTGGGAACGACACATTTTTCGTCGGCGCTGGTAGAGAGAGACGCAGAAAGAGAGAGTGAGAAAGAAGAACCCTAAAACACAGTTGGGTTTCACATCAGCTCTCTAAAGGCCCATTCGAAAATTCTTGGCCCAGACTTATTAAAGGCATGAAACAACCGAGAAAAGCATTTTGTGAGAGGCTGACGTGGCACAAAACCCCCCCATTCTCTTTGCTGACGTGGTGGCCTGTGGGGGCAGATTTCTTTACTTTATTATTATAGATAGGAGAAAGGGAAGAAACAAAATGAAATTCATTTCTTTGCAAGGAAACTCTTGCAATTATTCTCTTTCACACAATTCCACTTTACATTTTCTAATTTTATTATTTAATTATGTATAAAATTTAATTATGTTATTCTAAAATACTCATACATTTATGTTTAAGAACTCAAGTTAAGAATTTACCACTAAATATGTACGTAGAATTACAAAACCAGACTATGATAAAAAGAAGTAAAATACGTTATAAAAGAAAAAAAAGGAGTAAATATATAGTTTTGTTGGTGTGATATGTATACAACTTCAAAAAGATAAGTTTATCTACAGAAGATGAGTGACAAAGAGACGTTAAAAGAGAGAACAAGTTGATATCGTAATCGGCCCACTCCCACCGGCCACCTCTTATCCTCTCCAATCATATAACTTTCTCGTACCCTTTTGTTTCATGTAGAAAGTTAGGTCCACCATTTCACGTGCTCATATTCTTGGTTTTATAATAATAATCGGTGATTATCAAACTCGCAACTATTTGGAATTTTTCATTCCTGACAATCGTATTAAATATAAAGATCAGGTAATACCCTGGAAAAAATTTCCGACCTCATGGTTTTGTACAACACTCAAGATGTAATGTACATAAACCTAATTAGCCACGTGTGACGTTGCCAAAATTTTGTTTCGCTGACACATCAATACCGAAAGGATAAATATGCCACTAAATTTTTTAAAGTTTCAAAAGAGTGACTAGTAAGTATTTATAGTCTTCTTCTGATAAAAACCACACACAAAATCTTCAATTTTGAAGTTTGAAACAAAGATGTGTTACAAAAAGATTCTCCATCTTGTTATTCCTCCGGAGAGCTTCCACGAAAATATGCCGGCGGCAGAAGTAACGGTGGCAACAGAAGTGGTGGCCAACGTGGGTCACCGTGAAGATGGCGGTGGAAAGAAGAAGTGTGTGTGTTCACCGTCGAAGCATCCAAGATCTTTCAAGTGTAGGTATCATCATCATGAATATCAATGGATTCCTTCTTCTTCTTCATCCCTCCACAAATAACACATCATCATGTAATAAAAAACTAGCCTTTTATGCAAAAAAAAGTAATAAAACTATAGTTTATTATTCATGATCTTATCAAACGTAGAAACTGTCTTGTGTGTTCCTTTAAAGTGAACTCATTGAATTGTTGTTAGTTTTTTTTGGTATAAACGTTAATATCATATTAATGAAATATCAGCAAATAATTGACCTAATTATACATGTTTCCACGGCAAAAATAATTAAACCGATGTTGTTTGATCACAAAAGTTTTACAAATCCGTAGCGATCATTTTATAGACAAAGAAACAAATGGTAACTGATTGCTGTATAATTCCTATTTTTCTTCTAAACACAAAAAAGAAAAATTGATGTTAGATGATTAATCCAATAATGGGAACAAAAATAAACCTAATCTCATTTTTCTAAGTAGTCTATTTATATGAGCTAATAAGAGTTGAATCCAATGCTAAAATATCGTTAGGCGTTAACTAGTTATTTTATAGATGACAAACGATTTTACTTATTTTTTATTATACAAGGTTAGGGGTGAGACCTGAACATTAACAAAAAATGATACTATATTTTTTTACTTTTTATTAAATATTTTAGTTTCTAGTGTATTTATAAAATTATTTTGATGAAATTATGAAAATATATATAAAGAAATAAGATACATGGATTTATAGTATTATTGTTGGTTATATAAACAAATTTAAATTAATCTATATCTTTTAAACCAATTTATCTGAATCCTTGAATCGTTTAAACCAATTTAAATTACATAAATCAAATCTAAAAATTTATATAACTGATTTTCTGTTTAAATGGGCATGTAGACGCAGTATAAACCGTATTCTAAAATATTGGTTTGATCTAACAAATAAAACCATCATCAATGTCATTAAGGGGGATCATTATTTTATGAAATATTTACGTTTTCTAAAATTATTCTTAATGCTATAAACAAATATTTGGAATAATATTTATTAATGGCATTATTGTTTTTTGTTTTCTGGGCCTAACTATATAATTAAATATAATCAATATCTATTTAATGGGTTTGATTCATGGATTAATTTTCTTCAAAATATTTTTGAATATTCTTACAAAAATAATAAAATAATGCACATCTTATACTATTATTTGCGAAGTGATTTTTCGCAACAGAGCTCCCACGTTAAAAGTTAGAGTGGTTAATATCGATATTACCCTTAATGAAAATAATATCTAAAATTACATACAAAATAATAACAAATTTAAGTGATTTTGATTAGATAAGTAACTAAAATTAATAATAATCATAAGAATTATCCAAAATCAAAATAATATATTTTTTAAATAGATAATTCCGATATATATTGTGATGTTATCTGAAAATATATTCTGATAAAAAAGTTAATAATTAAAACAATAGAAAATACATAATTAAATATTAATCAACTCAACTTCTTAATTTAAATAATTGAAAAAATATTATTTGATTTAAAATTATTTTTAATGATTTAAAACTATTTTTAATAGTAAACATAAATTACAAAGAAATATATGTAATAATTGTTAAATAAAAGTACAAATAATAGTATAGATTAGTAAAAAAATTTATTGATAAAATAATTATAAAATATTTAGGCCCGCAAATGCGGGCAAAACAGCTAGTCAGTCTTAATACATGAATACAATCTCTTGTGAAAATTGAGAATATTTCACTAGGATATTATTCCAAATCAATATTACAAAATATTTTCGTGATAAAAATCTAAAAATAATAATAGCAAAGTAAATATTGATTAAAAAATACTGGAAAAATAAATAAATATGATCATATAAATCATTAATGATTTCAAATGTATACATAAAATATTTGTACTCTATATTATTAAATTTTGACTCATGCCAATAAATTTATTATGATAAGTTATAAATAATAAAATGCAAGAAATTATTAAGAATATGATAGTATTCTCACATATTTTTCTTTATAGATTAAAAAAATTTAAATTTCTAATAATAAATAATTTGTCTAAAAAAAATTAGAATAGATATTATTAGTAAAAATTTGAAAACAAATGAGTAATAATTTGTTCTATATTTATGTAGTTTGATAGTTAATATACTTACAAATAAATTTAATGAAATTTTTAATAGTATAGATACCTAATTTTAATTTTCGAACAGATTTCGACAACTTACAAATAACGCAAATTCGTGATCAAATGTTATGTACAAAAATATTTATTCTTATCCAAGTCAAATATTTATTAATAGATCAATAAGTCTAACTCAAATATAAAAATTCAATGAAAACATTTTACCAAACTGAAATAATAATAATAAAACATCTCTTAAATATTATAGACATATAATAATAGTTACAAATTTATATAATATTTGGTTTTACGGCAACAAAAAAGTATATGCACGTTTTAAAACTTTTTTCATATTCGCATAATTGAAACTTAATTTTAATCATATAATATTTTATATCATCAAAACAAATGATTTTTAATCTATTTATAGATAAAACAACAAAAATAGTATACACGTTTTTTTAAACACGGCTCAAAAATTTAGTTAAAACTAAAAAGGAAATTGAAAACTGAACATTGGATAAGCCATTTTCCATAATGGGCTTAAAATTTAAGGCCCATACCAGAACATGGACGAAGCGGGGTGGGGCCGTGCGGTTGTTTTCTGCACGTGGATTTTGGCTTTTATGATTAAAAAAAGGTACAGTTGCTGAGAAGAAACGCAACTCTGGAGTAGAGAACAACAACATCCAACAAGTTTAGAAGAAGAAGAAGTCGAGCTTTCTTTCCTTTGGTTCTCTTGTAGCTTGAGCATTCGATCTCTCTCATCTCCTTTCGAGTGGGCCTACAAATGGGCTTTCTTTTTGTAGTCAATGATTTTTGATTAGATTCCTGATTTGGTCTTTGACTTGTGGGGGTGTGTGTAATTAAGATTCAGATTTGTACAAAACGTGTCAAAGCTTATCAAAATTAAAAACCACAAAGAGAGATTAGAGTAGCACTTGAGCAGGGTTTCAAAGCGGCGTAGATTAAGAAGAACAAAGAAGATCAGAAGCTATCATCATCACCATGTCAACTGAAAACATTCAACATTCTTCTCTCCCTACTCAAAGGTATCACCTTTTCACTTTCTTCTTTCATCTCTGCTCCTCATACATATTCTCTGAACACTCTTTGATCATGGATTTTCACTAACACTCGTGTCTTTTGGTCGGGTGGACAATAGATTTGAGATCTGCTCAGTTCTGTTTTTGTCTGATTCTGTTGTCTTCTGTCTCATGCCGAATCTTTTGACCTGTGTTGTTTTCGATCTCGATTATTTCTTAAAAAATGTCTATTATTATTATTATTATTATTATTATTATTATTATTATTATTATTATTATTATTATTATTATTATTATTATTATTATTATTATTATTATTATTATATTATTTTCTGCATTTTTCTTCCAATTGTCTAAACTTTGATGTATCAAAATTTATAGCACATTGATTTTGAAGCTAGATTGATTTGAACATCTTCAGCAAGCATGTGCTTTTTTGAAACAGGCTTCTGGGTAAAGTGGCATTGATAACCGGAGGAGCCACAGGGATAGGCGAGAGCATTGCTCGTCTCTTCCACAAGCACGGTGCTAAAGTCTGCATCGTCGATGTTCAAGATGATCTCGGAGACAAACTACTCAAAACTCTTGTAGCGAACTCGGATGCAGAGTCAGCTTGTTTCATCCACGGTGACGTCACACTAGAAGACGACATCAGCAACGCGGTTGACTTCACGGTCAAGCGTTTCGGGACCCTCGACATACTCATCAACAACGCGGGACTAAGTGGAGCACCGTGTCCCGACATCCGTAACAACAGCTTAAGCGAGTTCGAAACGGTGTTTAACGTGAACGTGAAAGGAGCTTTCCTAGGGATGAAACACGCTGCGCGTGTGATGATCCCTGCCAAGAAAGGGTCGATAGTGTCTTTATGCAGCGTTGGTGGTGTTGTTGGAGGCGTTGGTCCGCACGCTTACGTTGGCTCCAAGCACGCGGTTCTTGGTTTGACAAGGAGCGTTGCGGCTGAGTTAGGACAGCATGGGATACGTGTGAACTGCGTTTCGCCTTACGCGGTTGCGACGAACCTCGCGTTGGCTCATTTGCCTGAGGATGAGAGGACGGAAGGCGTGGTGGCGGGCTTCAGGAGTTTCGCGGCTGCAAACGCGAATCTGAAAGGTGTTGAGTTGACTGTTGATGATGTGGCGAACGCGGTTTTGTTTCTGGCGAGTGATGAGTCGCGGTATGTGAGTGGTGATAATCTGATGGTTGATGGTGGGTTTACTTGCACTAACCATTCCTTTAAAGTTTTCAGGTGATCATTTATTTAGCTTTGTGTGCTAATGAATGTTGTTTAGTGTCAATGTGTGTGTCATAAACTGTGGAGCTTATTGTTGTGGTTTTGATTTTTGTCTTTATGATTGTTACTTTTAGCTTTGTAGAGAGTTTTTACAAAGTCATGGAAGCAGCATATTTGTTGTGTTACATTTGCTAAAAGTCAATTTTTAACAAAAAATAAAAAAACCAGATTATAATATTTAGAATTTTTGTTGACTCTAATATGATATTCGTTTGTTACGCAATTTCCCATAAATTAATTTTAGTTGAGGACATACGAATATATCAAAAACATTAGCATATTTCATTATTTATGATTTAAACTACTACTTTGAAGTTTATAATTTTAGTTTTGAATATTTGATAGTTTATAATATATATATTACTAATATATTAGAATATATACTATATTTTGAATTTTAGTCATTTTATATCCAATTTTGATTTGGTTCAAATAACAAATAAATATATATATGAATTAATTGGCTTATTCACTACAAAAAAAGGTTGGTTTGAATCACTTGTTTTCTATATTCGCATTAGTTATAAATGATACAAAAAACTTTTACATCACTTACAAAAATGACTTAGTTTTTCGTGATGCAAATAATTTGTATCAGTTTGTTCAAAATTGATGTAAAAATAGTTAATATTTCCATCAATATTTTTCTTATCCAAAACCAAGTTAAATCCTGGCTCAGTCTATTTGGTTCCGGATAATATGTCCAAACCTACCTAAAAGTGTACTGTGTAATAAGTTTACAAATACTCATTACAAAGATTTTATCACTGTACACAATTACAACTGCAACACTATCTCACAAAGACTCTTATTACTCGCAAACAATTCCTTAAAAATCAAGTCTATATATAACTCATGACGTAACAAACCTTATAAAAACCCAAAACATAATATAAAAGAAAACAATGATAACTATATGCTATAAGCTATATTTGTGTGTGCTGAAAAAATTCAGACCAAAGAAAAAGAAAGACATCACTCAGCTCTTACATCGGTTTTTACGGACGTTTGTCCCTGGCTCTGGCTTGGTGGTTTCTGATGCCGTTCACTTTGGCTTTGCCTCTGAGTCACATACGCAACCGCTCTATACATATCCGAACACGAATACGCAACCTCAGACATTGCCTGAAACAGCTCAGGAAGACGAGTTCTAAGACTAGCCAATGACTTCTCTCTAACTTGATGGCTTTGTCTTTGATAAGCCTCTTCCTCTTCCTCCAACCTCTTCTTGATCTGTTCAACATTAAACTGCCTCACAACAACCTCATCTTTATGCTCATTATCAGCTTCAGACCCATCAGCATTCACATCCTCAGGCCCTCTCTTCTGCATATACTTATGGTACCAATCCTCAAACTGTCTGATCTTCCTCCCCAACTCTTTCCTCGTCTCTTCACATCTGTCTCTCAGCTTCATCTCCTCCTCTTGCTGCTGCATTATCGTGCTCACAACCGCCGCGAAGTTGATTATCGCCGTCCTCGCCATCTCGTCAGGGATCTTGTCTAAACGGTCGTACCAAACGTGGAGAAGCTTCTGTATCGCGGGGTTTGGAACACGTGGAGGTGATGATACTTTCTCCTTGAGTGTGCTTTCTATAGGGATGAGATTCAGCTTCAGCCACCCGCCGAGTGATTTTATGTACACCTTTTGATTGTCTATCATCCTGCAAAACTGTGTGTGCCATTCTTGAACCACGGCCAAGAGCTGGATGGTTCGTTCGTGGTGATGATCGTTTGTTTCTTTCACGGCTTGTGAGACGTCTAGTGATTTCAAAATTTTGGAGATCTCGGCTTGTCTTTGGTGATGCATTTGCATCATCTCCCACATCTTCCCCATCCTGTGACAAAAACAAAAAAAAAACTCAGAACCATATGGTTTGAAACATCATGAGAAACATGTTATCAATACACTTACGCCTCGACGAGGTGAAGAAGCTTGACGTAGAGTTGTTCGTCTCGGAGACGGTTGATCTCTGAGACTGTTGAGTCCATGGATTGCATGTCGACTATGTATCTTGTATGCAGCTGACTAACTGCTGCTTTGGCTCTCTCTAGTGAATCTGAGTGGCCACCTCGCTTCTTTACCCGGTTTAGATGAGCAACCTTTCTTTGGTACTCGATTTTCATGAGTTCACCAGCCTGAATCCAACAAAAGTATATTCCAAAATCAGACTTCCAATGTACACATTAGTGCTGGGATTTTATCCAAACCGAATCTGCCAAACTGAACTGAAATTTTCGGGTTTCGGTTCAAGTTCAGTTAGATTCGGTAGACTATAAACACGGTTAATTCGGTTTTCCATGTTAAAAAAAAAAAAAAAAAATCAAACCATACGACCCAAACCAAAATTCTGAACTTAAAGAACCGAAATAACCAAATTTTCACCCAAAATTAAACCAAACCGTATCGTTTAATTTCAGTAGAACTTTCACTAACCGAACTATCTGAATCCCGAATCAGTTTCAATTCGGCACAATACTGTGCTTACCAAACTAACCGCAAACCAAATAACCCGAACCGAACTAATCATTCTAATCGAACCTGCAGGCCTTAACACATACATCATCTTTGCTAAGATTACCAAAGAGGACTAAACATAGCTGCAAGAATCATTCCTCAAGAGACAAACACAAGCATACTAGGAGAGAAGTTTGATATATATTTACCTTGACTTCGTCGTAGAGCTTCTTCTCCCATGCTAACAACTTGTCAAGAACAGTAGCATGAGTTTCATTCTCTTCCAAATCAAAATCATCTTTCCCAACATCAGCATTTGGTAATCCTCTAAACGACCTGTTCCATGTAATAACACGCATCACTCTAGCAGAGTGATCAATATGCCCTACAATACATCAAAAACATCATCTTTAGCTAATAATACAATCTTATTAGAGGAAAGGATCACTAACTATACCTCTATTATCAGCAAAATTAGAGTGGTAATGGAGCCTAGTGGCTTCAAGCATCTTGGAAACCTCATGAGCACTTTCAGAAGCTTTCAAGAAATTATCATCAACCTCATTGAACACATTCCCCAAGTTAGTCGCCACCGTCCCCGGAAACCTCCCTCCCCTCCTCTCTCCGCCCATAGGCTTCTTCATCCCTCTAAAATTAGCAACTTTCTCAAGCTCCACACTTGGTTCCTCAACTCTCTTCGGCCTTTCCTCAACCACCGGCGGTTTCCGTTCAACCACCGGCTCATCCTCCTCCTCCTCCTCCTCCTCCTCATCCTCCTCATCATCAACTTCATCATCATCCTCCGTGGACGGTGAAGCTGGCTGAGGAGGAGCAGGCTTGGCCTGTGACTGAGGAGGAGGAGGAGGAGTGTCCTCTAGAGTGGTTCCAGGTATGTTCTCACTAGCAAAGAAGTAATCATACACCAAATGCTCTTGTTGCTGATGCTGACGTGGCGGTGGAATCGTTCTCTGATTCGCCGCCATGGATTGCGGAAGAGGAGGAGGAGGCGCTTCTTGACGGTGGTGGTGATCATCCATCATCGGCCTACCTCTACTGCTACCGCCACGGCTCTTCGACTTCCTAACCAACCGGTCACGATTCTCCTCCACCTCGGAGTCATCATCTCCGTCGTCGTCGTCCTCCTCAATTATAGTCCCGTTGAGTCCACTCCCCGGCGGACCACCGGATCTACCGTTCATCTCCGGCATGGTGGCAGCGCGCTGGAGAGGGAGCGGCGGCGGAGGAGGAGGCGGCGGGAGAGTATCCGGCATAGGCTGAGGGATCTCGGCGGCGGAGGAGGAGGACGCGACGGAGTGAGAGATCACGGCGGCGGAAGAAGGCGGCGGAGGAGATACGGCGGCGGGAAGGGAGGAAGCTGCGGCGGAGACGGAGGAGGAAGAGTGGTTGGAGACGAGAAACTCGCCGTGAGCGTAATCGGAGAGAGCGGCTCCGGTGTTCTTGAGGGCCATGGCGTAGGCGGAGTGCGCGGCGGCGAAGGCGTTACGAGCGACGACGGCGTCTTTCATGAACTGTTTACGCTCTTTGCAACGAGTAACGGCTTCTTCGTTCTCGATCTTGGATTGAGCACAACCCATATCTTCTTCTTCTTTCTTGTTCCTGTCTCTCACCAGTTACAGTTTGGGATCGATCTGATCAGATTACTGGACAAGAGATATGGGGAAGAGGACAAAAAGAAAGTTAAACTTGGGAGCTTTCGAGTTAAGTTTTGTAAGAATAATTGAGAATGAGGATATACGGCGTCGTTTCGATGGTTAGAATAGGCAATTTTTGCTTTTCCTTTTTTTTTCTTGAGATTTCCATTTGTCGTTCAGCTACTCTAGGTAATGACGTGGACAAAGTTAAAGGTGAGGAACGAATATAACGTTTTCGCTTTTAAAATTGTTTTATTTTTCCTTTTTTGTTTTTTTTTAATTGGAGGATGCAAGCCAAAGCTGAACTTAGTCAAGTCACTAGGATTTATGGAAGAGTCCAATATTTTTGCTAATAAAGTTTTATTAATCTTCGGAACTTTGAACTACTCAAAATCTGATACAAAGGATAAATGTTATGGGACAAATTTAACTTTTCAAATTCAACTATTTTCATAAATATTTTAAATTTATTATCAAAAATAAAATAACCTCCATAAACCATTTTTAAAATTATATATACAAGTTTATAAATAAATCCACCTCTTAAATACTAAATTTAAACAGTAATCACTAAACTTTAAACTCAAATGTCAAGATACTTTTGATTAAATGTATTTTGAAAGTGATATCATGTTTGCCTTGTTGATCTAATTTCTATATTTAGTTCTGCTTATCTTCTTTGAATCCAAGTATTTTGGTTAAATATATATATGGGATTATTTGTTGATACACCATAAATATATCTCTTAATTTGTTAATTATCTATAATTTGGTATTAACAAAATAATGATGATTTTGACCCTATTCCCACCACTCTCTCTTCTGACATTATTTCTCTTGACATTCTCTTTATTTTCTTTGATTTTACTTTTTTCTCACCCTCGAACTCTCTCATCATTTTTTTTTGTCATTTTCTCTTCTATTTTTTTTGTTCTTTTCTTTACATGATAAAATATTTTTTATCTTGAGATTTTCAAATTATTATTTGTTATATATATAATATTAACATATGTATTGTTAATAATATATATAGAAAATAATGTGATATTAGTTGTTAACAAATACATGTACTAGTTGTATTAACAAATGCATTAACTGTTAACAAATTTTGTAGATGTTAACATATGTCTTAATTAGTTGTTAACAAAGACATGTACCATAATTGTTAATAGAGGTATTAGTTGTTAACAAATTTGTAGATGTCAATACATTTGTTACGTATTATATGTTAACAAATAAATATTGTTGAAATTTCAATTTCTCTATCAAACTAAGTAAATTTGTCAGGTAACAAAACATTTATCAGTTAACAAATGAGTTAACCGCTAACAATTAATCTAACACTACTATCGAGTTTATAACAAATTGTAAATTTTAGAGATGTTAAAATTTTGCAATCAGTTGTAATTTATGTTTTCAATCATATCAAATTTTAATTATTTTATTAATTATAATATTTTATATTATATTTACAAAAATATTATTATTTGATAATATTTTTAGCATTAAAAAAATTTAACAAACATATGGATAAAAGTGAAGTACGTATAGACAATAAGATTCTGACTTTTCTGTAACCAGCAGAAAGTGTGTCAGTTGAAAAGAACATTTTCATTCAATACTAAACAAAAATGTATGTTTTCATCCCCAATTAGGGTAAGTCACTAATAAGACTCTCGATTTTAGGTATTTCCCTAATAATCTCTATATATATCTAGGAAATTGATTGAATATCATGGAATTTTTTTTTTTTTGTTCTTTCTTGTTTTTGGTCAATGAAGATAAGCAGAATTAAATATATAAATTAGCTCAATTAAATAAGCAAAGGTGGTTTTAATTTAAATTGTCGGAGAAGATGCTTTTCATGGGACCCATGGGAACAGATTAGGCTCACTTTCTGTAGATTCCGGCTACGGCTTCACCACCCTTGTTCGCTGTCGTCTACTTGTCAAGCATCAGAAGAAGCTTTATGGAAAGCTTTATGCTTGATATTTTAATCGATAAAACTAATACAATGCTTTTGTCACGAAAACAAAAGTATAATAATACTAATATTCATTCTATTTTAAAATGTATGATGTTTTGCTAAAATACACAGGTTAAAAATACAAACTATTTTAAAAAAAAAAACTATACAAAAATTATAATAAATCATTAAATTAGACTAGGTTTGAACATTTAGGTTCTCGATTCGGATCCGAATTGGATTATATCATGTCCCGATCCTTCAGATCTTATATATTTAGACCCAAATAATTTAAATTTATCAGTTTGGATTCAGTTTGAGTATTTATCGGGTCTGAATCGATTTGGGTATTAGATAGTTAGATCCAATAAGGTAATTAAAATTTGTTGGTACAGTTTCGAACAAGGTTCAATTCGGATCATGTTTAGTCCAGTCCAAAAAAGAATACCCAAAAACACAAAATAATATTTGAAAAAATTTAAATACCCAAAAAAATTCAAAATTTTACCAAAATCTGATCTGAAGACATAAAAATATCCAAAAATTTATCTGATTATTCAAATTATATTTTTAAAAATCTAAAATTTTACTTAAAACTCAAAACCATATTCGAAAACCCAAATCTAAAACTTAAAAATAATACTCATTATACCAAACATATACTGAAACACACACACACACACATATATATATACTTAATATATATTAGAAGTTTTGGATATTTTGGATACTCCATCAAGTCCGTCCAATACCCAAGGGCAAGATCCAATAAGAAAAAAAGGATCGATTCGGTTCTTATCCGAACCAGATTTTTTCGGGTCAGTTTCGGATCGGGTCTTCGAGTCCAGATAAAATGTACATGACTAAATTAGTCAAGGGATACAAAACGTAACTGATCAAACATTTTTTTAATAAAATTAAAATCAACTTAGAAATGTCAAAATAATTTACAGAAACACCAAATATTTTACATTTTGATATTGATTGGTTCATTTTGTTATATTTTATAACAAAGAGATCATTATCGCTATCTTTCTCAGTATGGTATTAGTCTCTACTTTTCCTTTTTTTGGTTGTGAAAGAATACATGTATACTACTTCAAGTTAATAATGATGTATACATACAGAGTTAATGAAATCTAATTTGCTAAATACAAATACAAACTCTTATCTCCTGCGAAGAGATGCAAGCCGAGCCACCACATCATCATAATCCAAGAGCTTAGGTCTCTGAAAGGACGATGTTCTCTCCTTCTCCCTTGTTGATGATGAAGCTTCGTTACCACTACCTTGTGGCATAAGTAACGTCGAGTTTTCTTGACCAGTACTCTTCTTCTTCTCCTCTGGTGCTTTCTCATCGTTTCTAGCTCCTTGTTTGGTGTTTGGAGAAGAGATTATTCCGTAAGGCAAAATCTTCTTCTTCTTCTTCTTCTTATTCTTTTCAGAATCTCTTTTTATAGAACCAAAGCTCGAGCTTGAACTCGAACTTAAACTACGGTTGGACAACGAATCTCTTGTCCAAGCCTGTGAAAGAACCGACTCATCCTCACTTTGATCATTACTGTTCTTTGTCTCAATCTTCGGATCATCAGCTCCTGTCTCGACCTTATTATCCTCAATCTACACATATCTTTTCAGACATTAGAACAAAAAAGGCTGAGAGTTTGGTAAGTATACAAACTTACTTGCAAAGCTGAGGTTTCTCTAAGCAGCAAAAGGTTTAAAGCTGTAGGATCCCAATCAATAGAAAACTCTTTCGCAATGTCTTTCAGTGTCTGAATCTTGAGCTCACGTGATGGTCTTCTTCGCAGTTCGGTTTTCTCAACGAGCTGCAACATTTCAAGAAAAAGAATATATTGTCAGTGCAAGAAAATGTGGCAAAGATTGGTAATTAAGTGAAATAAATTAACCAACCTCATAATTTACAGAAGAAGCAATGAAACTCCCAAATCTACGCGTAAACATAGCCCTAAGATCCCTAAGTTCAGGAACATCAGGAACCCATGCCGCTGCATATATCAAAGAGGAAACAGCTTCTCTGCATTCTTCAGGACATTCCCTAAAAGGAAACAAAAAAATATAAGTAAATATTGTGAGCTTTTGGGGTGAAAATAAATTAAAGGGTTGTCAAGAACCTGTTCTTCAGCATAAGAGGGAGATTTTCGGAGATGCAATCGCAGAATCGTTCAATGATATCATAACACGATATAATTCTAAGCTCTTCAAGTAATACTTCTGCCTTGTATAACAAGTAATTAACAGATTCAAAACCCTCAATAACATAGGAATCTTTCGGTTAATATTACAGAAAGAAGGGTGAGTGATTCTTACTCTTGTATAAGCATTATAATCAAGGCCATTCTTGAGAAACTCCACAATGTCCATTTTTAGAAACTTGACCATTGCAATCCTTCTTTTCCTTACTATATCGAGCCGAATTTTCATGTAACTTGTTGCAGATTTGCTACATTTCATTTCAACAACAATAATTAGAAAGTACCTCACAGAAACTCATTCGACAAAGAACAAAGAAAGCTAACCTTTTCTTGTAGAAATTGGGTTTGAAGCACCGAAGAAAGATGTTCATTTTTTCGATACTTGAGGCAGAAAAATGGCAAAAAGTTCAATGCTTTATATGCAAATCCGAAAGAATCAACAGGTGGTTTAGTGACAAGAGTCGAAGTAATACTTAGAATCAGAATATAGCAAAAGCTATGAAGTAAAGAAACGAACCTTAAAGTTTCTTCGGAAGGAAGAGACAAAGAGAAAAGATTTGTGTATTATCCCAAAAGAAGAATGACTTTTCTTGAAATGCCTTTCACTGTGGTCTTTTATTTATTCTATGTAGCTTAGAGAGCAAGTTCAGTTAATTATTCAAAGCTACTTAGTTTACAAGCACTTTAGCTGTAAGCTTCCAAGAAACATCGTTGTTGGTTCTTATCTATCGTTCTTTTTGCATTAATAATACTTAAACAAAGAAATGTCCTAAGATTCAGTTCTGTAGTCAAACTAAAAGTGTTTTATTGGGACTTTTGTAAATAAGTACCTCATATCTTTGGTCAAAAAAAAGTACCTCACATCTAATGGTTGGACCACGTAAGACATCTTAGTAACCATCATGGCACATTCCAAGTACAAGAATATTAAACCAAGTCCATAACTTTTAACCACAAGATGGTGGTCTAGTGGTAGGCGAGCTTTGGGATTTGCAAAGCAACCCGGGTTCGAAGGCACCCCACTACATCTTATCTTGTGGCCACGCGGATATGGGCCTATCTTACGGCCCATTTGAATACCCGGAGTGAGGGTCCATCCGTGGGCTGCACCACCCCTTTGGGGATTAGTCTGGGCCTCTCCATGGGCCTGGGATACCCCCAAGGTTAAACAAAAAAAAAAAAAAAAAAAAAGTCCATAACTTCATGGAAAACAAAGTGAACAAACTTAAGAAGAAGAAAGAAATGCTAAGGAATTACTCTCTCTGTTTCATAAAGAATGTCATTTAAACTTTTAAATTTTGTTCCAAAACAGTGCTATTCTACATTCTTAATACAATTCTTTATATTAAATATTTTTCTTATTTTTTAAACAATCAATAGATGTTTAACTAAATAATTTTAATTTAAATAATTATATAATAAATAATGGTATATTAGTATATATATTTTTTTTAATTTGCGTGAAATATGTAGAAGTGTCACTTTTTATGAAATGGAGAGAGTATGTGTTTTTAACTCTTTATAGATAAAATGAAGTGTTATAATGAGCGAGTTCAATACATTATGCACAGTGACTTGGGTCACAAGCGAATAGTTTTAGCTGTAACTTGGGTCAAAGCTAAGCTAGTATACAAGATGGTATTTCATTTTGAAAGATAGTAGAAAATAAGATACTATACAAAAAAAACATACACCAAATGACCAAAACCACAAAACATTCATTATTTGTCTTCTCGCAGTTGCGTTTAATTCTCGTACAAATTCTCTTTCGCCATTTTCTCTTGCTTGTAACTTTTATGCTTTAGTTTCTTTTTCCCTTCCAAGAGTTTATTATTATCAAATCAACCAAGAAAGAAACGAAACAAACAAAGTGAAACCTGAAAAGTGGTAAGGCAACGATCTTAACAATGCAACATAAACAAACAAAGCAGTTGGAGAAACCTGAAAAGCCACCATGGCATTTAACAAAGTTTTTGGAAACAAGAAAACAGAACCGCTTATTAACTTGAGCCTTTTTTTCTTCTCTTCAACGACCAAAGAGACTAATCTGTTGATAGTTTTTATCAACAGACTCTTTGATAGCATCAACCACCAGCTGTGTCTTCCGGCTAATGTTTGGCCAAAACCCATCAGGCTTTGCACCTTTGTTCTTGATCTCTCCAACCAACCTGGCAAACTCTCTCACCATACACGCCTCTTGCGGGATCTCTGTCTTAACCGTGTGTTCACTCGGGCGATTAACCCATGGATTCATGAACGGAGCTTTCGTGCAAGTGGTGAACGATGCTTGTGTTTCCTCAAAGGGAATAACAAAATCTTGAACACAAAGTGTACCTTTTGTTCCAACGGCGGTTATCTCCATCGCCACGTTTGCCAAAAAAGAGCAATATATGGTTGCGGTTCGTCCGTCTCCAGCTCAAAGATGCTCCACATGAGAGAATCACTCCTGCCTCGTTCAGGACAGTCCCTGGAGAGGCCATGACGATTTTGGGAAGCTCGAAGTCGTTGGCGAAAAGCGCTGCTCGGATTGCGTACCATCCAAGGTCTCCGAGCACACCGAGACCATCAAGACTCGGTTTCACACGGATGTCGTTTTTAAGAAAATCTTCATCCCCAGCTAATGAGAAGTTACTATGTATGTTTCTCAGCTGACCAAAACTGTCGGAATCGAAGAGAAACTCCTTAAGCTTAGCCGTTCTAGGGTGATGAGCCCACATGGTACCATCCATAATCTGAACACCGTTCTTCTCACAAGCCGCGACAATCTTGTCGAACTCAGCTACGTTCATAGCCACGGGCTTCTCCAGAAGGATGTGTTTTCCACTCTCGGCAGCGCGTATGGCCCACTCGACATGGAGGCTAGTGGGGAGAGGAATGTAAAGAGCATCAACCTCTGAATCTTCGAGAATCGATTCGTAGGAGCCGTGGATCTTCACGGATTGGTTGTAGCCGTTGGCGGTAGCAAACGTTTTGGCTTTCTCTAGAGAGCGGCTTGCAACGGCTGTGATAGTGGCGTTTGGAGCGAGGTGGATGGCACTGGAGACTTTTCTAGCGATTCCTGCGCATCCCATTACTCCAATTCGGATTGGCGTATCGGTGGCCATAGTCAACGGTGAGATAATACAGAGAGAGAGAGAGAGAGAGATTCAGGAGCAAAGAGAAGACATGTGAGGAGCTTTATGTCAACAGTGAGACTTGAGACACCTCGAGGCGCAGACCCAATAAAAAACTGGACTTCGTACGTTTGGTGGGAATTAAGATATAGCAGTTTGTTAAAAAGAAATGTTTTCAAAAAGGATTCGAGCGTAGGTACCACCGGCACTAGCAAATTATTAGAAACAAAACAATTGTAAGAAATTTGTGAAAATAAGGTGGTATAGTGATCAGGTTTAAAGGTTTTTATTCCAAATTGAAGTTTGAATTTCAGGCTATGCAATTTTACACTATGAAGTGTGGGTTTCAATTTGCGGAAAAAACGAATTATATAAAAAATATAGAGAAAATGTTTACAAAAGATCTTCAACATATCGCAAAGAGTACCGTCAGAAATATATTTCATAGAGCGGCTCAAAATAATGCAGTTAGACGTGAAACCGCATGATACATATATAATTGTCGATTGTAATATTTCTCATTGTAATAGCATAATTAACTAGACAAAAAAATAATAATGGTAAGAGATATCTATAAGGTGTTAGATTTTGGACTCTTTGGAGAGATTTTTTAGTTTCAAGCCGATGGCCGGAGGTTTCTATAGCTCTGACATCGGATTGTTTAATTTTTCTTATTTCTATTTATTTGCTATGTTTTTTTTTATGGTTTTCTAGTTTGTTTGATTACCAATTTATTTTGAATCTGACAAACTTTTGGATTATTCTTTTGTATGGTTTTTCCAATGGATTTGGAATGGAAAAAATTTCGGTTCAACTGAATCGTTTAGAAAACGTAATTGACAGATCTACTGCGGATGGTGGCGACAGGTCTTACCGGCTTCAATCGTTGATGGTTCTTCACTTAATGGTGATGGATTTTTTTGCTGCAAACTATGGTTACTTCGAAAGACAACATGAAATTCTATAGAACAGTAATCTCTTTGGCTCGGTTATTATCAATAGAGAAATATAAAGAGTTGTCTTCTCTCGTTGGCTCCTACTGGAGTAATAAAAAGAGAGTAGCTATCGTTCTCAACTAAGCCTGAAGCGTGGTGTTTCTGGATTAATACGAAGATTATCTCCTCTGAGATTCAACTATTTCAGAAACAAATATAGAACTTTCACATGAAAATCTTTAGTCATCCATACGCTAATAAATGTATTAGTTTACTTTGGATTCCTACTGGTGTATCTATTTTCCATATTATTCTTGTTAATTCTCATTGTGTAAAACTATTTGCATAAATAGCTTAATAATACAATCCAGCGTTAAAAAAAAGATTTTGGAATCTTCGAATAATTTGTATTATTAAAATTTAGCATAGGTGTAAGATTTTGTATATATTTAGCACCTTATAAGTTAATTATGTGTTGTCAAAAAAAAAGTTAATTATGTGTTTAACAAATTGTTAATTATTATTAATAAACTTTGACTTCATATGTTTTTGTTATTAATCTGGTTATTCCGGGTTAATGGAATGCCTTAGACTAATTTCCAAAAACAGTGAAGTCCATTGATGGACACACTCTCCATGTTGAATATGTGTCATAAGCAATATGATCATAGCTGTGCAACCAGATAATGAAGTGTAGTGAAGTACATTTGAACCCAAATTGTTTAGCAATTAAAAGCTTGCCTATCACTAAACCACCATTACATGACTAGGTCTGTTTTCATATGTTCCAAAGTATTTTACGCGGAGATTATTCGCATGCACTCCCACCGTATTCAGAATATGATTAAACCTCTGTTTGCCCACAAAATTTTCATCTCGGTGTGTTTGTAATGGCAAGATTCGATGATCAGTCTTTTGAGAGAGAGAAAAACAAGCCAATCAACCTCTACTTTTTGCTTTTATTTCATTTTAGATGTTTCTTATCAATAACAATTATGCGAGATGCTTCTATCATTTAAATTTCTTATCAATAACAATTTTAGTATTTTAGGTTCTAAGCAACTCTAGGTTACATTACAATACTCGCATAACAACAATATATATAGCTCACTACTAGCATAGAACCCTAAATCACTTGGGCTTATGAACTTTTCATAAGATAGATTTTGGCTTTTGGTATGTAATCTAATTAAAAACCACATAACTGGTCTACTAGGTTATCTAAGTGAAATTTCAATGTAAAATAGTGAATCTTTCTTGAATTCATATGCCACAAGATTGCTTCATGCTCTTCATAACTTCTTCATCAAACCAAGATTCATATGTTCCAAAGTTTCTACCAAATATGCAACTTTGAAACTTGATGGAGGTTTACCAGTTTTTCTCTTTCCATTCCTTGCAAACAAATAATCATCTTGAGATTGTCCATTTTCAGCTTTTTCAGCTTCTTCACCAGACTTATATTCTTTTGATGAAACGAAGTTCCACATTGGACTGACAAATTCTGTGTCATGAAACAATAAGGACTTGGTTCATTAAATCATAATATGAAAGAATTACACTTTCTTTTACTAGTTTTGCTTGTTTTTTCCTTTCAAAATCCATGTACTTCACATTCAACCTACATTTAGCAAATGTGCATCGAAAATAATAGAATTTATATATGTATATGCTATATATTATCTTTTATATATTTGTAAAAAATGGACCATAAAGCCACCACCTTCATAGTTGCAACCTAATTTTCTAACATCCCATAAAATTAGATTCACATACACCTCTCACATGTATTTAAAATCCTTGAATTCAGTACAAAACCATCTAGGTTCTGAATCTATATAGTTTTTATTTATTTATTTGAGGATACCACAAGTGTTACTAGCCACTATATATCACCACCATACTCCTTGAAATCAAATACAAATTGCTTGTTGGTATGTTGAGGTATGAATAATCAAAGTCCATAAACCATTTCTCATTGCATAGTGAACGCTGACAATTCATTAGTTTCCAGTTGCAATATTGGCAGAATGTGCAAGTCTTTTTGTTTAATAAAATTGAAAGAAATTTGGTTTGTGTAAAGTTGAGATTGTTGAGTTTAATTTTTTTTAAAGAGTTTGATATTTTATATTTACTGTTATGTTTTCATAGAACGGATTGGACCCATCCAACCATAAATCTAAAATTGAACGGATATTTGATCATGAAAATCCATATTTTTATAGACGGAACATATAAATTTCTAAAAAAAAAATTCTAATTTACACTGAGCATATCACCAAAATCAATGGTATTGGTTCTGTATTCACTTTGATAAATCATATGAACCAAAACTCTAGTGACCAACACAAGCAAAGTATTTCTAAGTCGTAAATCGAGCTAATAACTCTAACAAACTCACGTCGCTAACAACCGTGCCACCACATAAACTGTGCTTTACCGAATAATAGAGGAAAAGAAAACTAACATACACAGTTTAGGAAAGATACGATAAACCGAACAAGATAGTCATTGCCATCAATTGAAAATTCTCGGCCGGTTAGTCTTTCTAATTGTAGATTTCGAGGAAGAAGACCGCCGTAGAATAATAAGGCGGAGACGGAGGCCACTGGTTTAGCCGCCAACGATGTGACTAGCTTCATAGTTGAGCTTAGCAATGGCACAATCACCTAAACGGGACAGAAAATTAAAATTCATTAGAAATAAATTTGATCAAAGTTAAAAGCAAAAAATAAGAAAAACTGATTCTTGCAATGTTGTCCTTAACTTCCCACGCATGTCAAAGTATAAGATCGATTTACAATTTGAACGTTGCACAATTTGATATATTGGAACGTACGTGAATTTGCACGTGAAGTCTAGAACCATTGTTCTCTGTTCAAAGATGTAACTTTTTGAAGAAAAAAAAAAGGAAAGAGAAGAAAGTTACCAACTTACCATGAACGAAGAGCGATGGATTAATGGTTTCTTCAACAGAAAAGATGGTCTTATGATTTCTCTTGGCGATATGTAGGGAGCTTCCTATATGTTAACATTGAAAAAGTCGATTTTGCATGAATTTATACATGTATACACAAAGATGTGTTAAAAGGGAAACAAGATGGAACAAAAAGGGAAAGCTGATAAAAATAAATGGAAAAAACATTCAATAGATACTTGGAAGAAAAACTACATTAATGGAATTAGAATGTTCCCCAAGCATTCGCATCAATACTCCATTCTTGAAAGCTTAAGATTCAAACAACAGTTTTTCTTGATAAATCGACTATCCTACAAATTAGTAATAAATGGATATTAATTTGAATAAACCAAATGTATTCTTTGTCCAATTATTTTCTTAGAACAAAATAACAGATTTTTTTAGTATACGAACATCTTATCTCTTGTTATTCTAAATGAACAAAAAGTCTTCTTTTTTTTGTCATCGAACAAAATATTTAAGAGATGTAAAAATAATTGTAAACTGATTATTCTTTCTGGATTAATGCAATTCTTTGTCCAATTACTTTTGTATTTTTTTAATAAATATAAGAACGTCTTATTATAGTCTAAAAAAACGTGTCGAAGTGTTAATTCTAAAAAAGTATATACACTCCCATTAGGCCCAGCAGAAAATGAAGCCTAATGGGCCTTTATATCCAATCAAAACCTAAATGGGCCTTTTGATTCAACCAAAACCCTAATAAAAAAAAAAGGAGAGAAGAAAACCCTAGCTTTATATATAGTTTTTGTTGACCTAATCGGTCACTTTCTTCTCTGAAGCCGACGAACTTTAGAGTTATCACTTACGCGCATCCGCTTCAATGGTGATTCTCTTTCTCAATCTCTCCCTTCATTTGCCAGTTCATCTATTTTCTTGTTGAACTTCAATGGTTGATTTTGGTTTTTATTGAATACAGACGAAGGGAACGGGGAGTTTCGGAAAGAGGAGAAACAAGAGTCACACTCTTTGTGTGAGATGTGGCCGTCGCAGTTTCCACATCCAGAAGAGCCGTTGCTCCGCTTGTGCTTACCCCGCCGCTCGCAAGAGGACCTGTAAGCATCTCTCTTCTATCTCTGCTCAGTCGATTAGTTCTTGATTTAGTCAATTAAATCCTGTGGATTGAGAAATGAACCATTCTACACTTTAGCCACATGAATTATTCTTCATTTGATTTAGTATGAGTTTCTACTTTCCTTTTAGGATTATGATATGTTTATTAAAATTCGCACACCAGTATAAAAGACATTTTCTTTTGTGTGTTTATGTTCGGTTTCTCTTTTTTCTTATGTTGCTACAATGATAATGATGCGTGTGTTAGAGTTGAGTACTCTGCAAATTTTGATTGATGTGTGTAACATAGTCTACTACTTCATAAAGACATCTGCTTTAGTGTTTTGTGTTCGGTTTCTCTATTTCTACTTGGCTTTATAGTATTTGAATTCGGTTATATAAATGAATACTACTTCATTTGAACTAGTATAAGTTTCCATTTGTCTAGAGGGTTGTGAATCTCATTGATTCCCAGACAGAACTGGTGTTTCTTTTATTGAACTTTTTCTTCGGTAAATAAATCCACCGTAACAACCAGACATGCATTTCTCTGTTTCATTTTATTGCTAAAAAGTACAGATGATGTGTATTTTGAATTTGTTTAATGTGTAATTTCTGATTGATGTGTGTATTTTGTGTAATCAGATAACTGGAGTGTGAAGGCAATCCGTAGAAAGACGACCGGAACTGGAAGGATGAGGTATCTTCGCAATGTGCCTCGCAGGTTCAAGACTGGTTTCAGAGAAGGTACCGAAGCTAAGCCAAGGAACAAGGCTGCGGCTTCATCAGCTTAATTCTGTTTTCGCAGGAAAAGAGTTAAAACTTAGTTTTTGGCTTCTGAGTTTGTTTGTTCGCAGGATTATTATTATTATTGATCATCTGATTAGTAATATCTTTCGGTGTGTGTTGTTTACTTCTTTTTTACTAAAGTTTTGAACTTGGATGAGATTTATCGCATCTCTGCAATTTGCAAGTCTCTTAATCCTTTATGTATTTTGTGTTAAGACTTTTCATCAATGTTCTATCGTCTTTTATCGACTGTGTCCATCATTGTTCAGCCTCATTCGGTTTATTGGGTTATTAGTCAGTACCCTAAAATCATGCTTTCAAATTAAACTTGGCAATGTTATTATATGGTTAATGTAAATTCTTAGTATTAAACTTAGATGCGATCATGCGATCATGGTCAGTGCTCGCTGTTGCTGTTGTAGACACTGTAATGTTTACAATTTGTAAAATATCATATTCAAACTCGAAATGAGAACATCAATTGTGGTGATATTTTGGCATTTTGTTCAGATATTAACTGAAAACAGAAGTTCAATGTACAACACAAGTGATCGAACCGGAGAAGATAACTAATGAGATAATAACTTGTCTAAATAACAGTACTGTTGGTGATAAAATGTCACAGTTGCACACTGTAAAGCCTTTTTTTTTTAACTAAGAGTGAAGATCTTCTATAAAGAGATGCTAATCTGAAAGTTATTTAGTGATCAGTGATGATGGTTTGACGTCTAACCTTATTTATAAGAACAATTTTATTTTAATTTTGTACTAATTAAATCTCATGTCATTTTAAAAATTAGCTCTTTTATACTCGAAAGTCTTAAACAGCTAAAAAAGTAATATCAATGATCGTACCTATTAGACCGTTTGGTATGATCAATGACTAATTAAAGTAGGGTCATTTGTGGAAATAAAAAGATATTTTTAAAATAGTGTCCTTTTCTTTGCTGTAGTTAGTTTTGCTCGTGTCTGAATCGAATCGCACACGAGAGAGAGAAAGAAGAAAAAAACAGAGACAGTTTTTTTCACCGGAAATAAAAAATTAAATTAAGCTCTTCCGCCAATGTCTTCTCGCCGGAGAGTTCTTCTGAAAGTCATCATCCTCGGAGATAGCGGGTCATTTTTTCTCATCTCTTCCATTTCTATTTTCTTCCACAAACTCTAATCCCATTTTATGTTTATTTGTCCATTGATAAGATTTTTTTGTTTTTTTTTTGTTTCAGGGTTGGGAAGACATCGTTGATGAATCAGTACGTTTCTGAAAACGTAGATCTATAGATTTGATATTAATCATGTTTTTAATATGCAATTGAATTTTGGTTGATTGAATGGTATGGTTAGGTTTGTAAATCGCAAATTTAGTAATCAGTATAAAGCTACGATTGGAGCGGATTTCTTGACTAAAGAGGTTCAGATTGATGACAGGATCTTCACTTTACAGGTTTAATATTCGTTTTTGTCTGAATGAATGAATTATTATATTTTTTATTTTTTTTGTTTGCGTTTATGATTCGTGGAATATTCTTATTGGATCTTCCTAACTTTCTGAAACTTTGTTCTTTCATGTTTTTAACTGTTGAGTTTATTTATCAACGTAGGAAAAATTCAAATCTTGTGTTACAGTGTGCTATGTGGTCTAGAGATTTGTAAAACTATAATGCCTAGCTAGTACAAGTAGGGATGCTCATGCCATATTATATCTAATAATGCAGATTTGGGATACTGCTGGTCAAGAAAGGTTCCAGAGTTTGGGAGTAGCTTTTTACAGAGGAGCTGATTGTTGTGTTCTCGTGAACGATGTCAATGTTATGAAGTCTTTTGAGAATCTTAATAACTGGAGGGAAGAGTTCTTGATCCAGGTCACATTACTAACTCACTCCATCTACACATATCAATTTAAATACTATTTATTGCTATTATATTCAAATATGTTTTATTGGTTGTTTAGGCTAGTCCATCAGATCCTGAGAACTTCCCGTTTGTCGTGTTGGGGAACAAGACCGATGTTGATGGTGGCAAGAGCCGAGTGGTGAGACGCTTTGTTTCTTTGTTATTTTGTTTCACTACTAGAGAGTTTGGTTTAATGCTAAAGTCTGTCATCTTCATATTGTGTCAGGTTTCTGAGAAGAAAGCAAAGGCATGGTGTGCATCTAAAGGAAACATTCCTTACTTCGAGACGTCTGCCAAAGAAGGATTCAATGTTGATGCAGCTTTCGAATGCATAACCAAAAATGCATTCAAGAATGAACCTGAAGAAGAACCGTAAGTAACAACAACTAGTTTCCTCAAACACATCTGTTTGCATAACTGTATCGTTGTAGTCTTAACTTTCCACCAAATAACTCGCAGGTACATGCCTGACACCATTGATGTCGCTGGAGGTCAGCAACAAAGATCAACTGGCTGTGAATGCTAATCAACCAAAACGTTTCTTCTTGCAGAGAGGGTACTAATATTTTGATTTCTTTGGCAAATTTGAGTACCATACAATATAAAAAATGTAATTTCACTTTATTGAATTGATGATTCTAAGGTATTTTGAGTTTCATTTCTTTTCCAACTCCATACAATATAAAAACACATGTAATCTCACATTAAGATCTTTCTCTTGGTCTCTTTTTTATGTCTACACTTCCTCAAACTTGACTACAATTCATCCTTACTAGAACCACCTCTTGGTTTCAACTCTTCGTTGATGAAAACAGCCATGTCCTTGGCGCTCAATTTAGTTGATAACTTTAACTGCAAAATCAAACCGGTTTAGATAAGCAAAAATAATGAGGGCCTGAGCTAGTGAAGCTCTATCAAAAAGATTAAATTATTATTACCGGTTTCTCCTTTTCACCGGATTTGTAGAGCAATATCGTAGGATAATCATTAACCTGTCATCAACAAATCAATAAGATTAGCTCATGTTTCCAGGAATAGCCAGTCTTTGTTGCAGTAAAGATTTGACTCACCTGCAGTTGAGCATGCTCATTTGTAGATGCATCAATTCTTGCAAAAACAAGATTCTCAAAGCCTTTGAAATGCTTAGCCAACTTCACGACCTGTTTGCTCATCGCCTCGCAGTTCACACACCATGGTGTATGTACCTGTTATCAGTTCACAAGACCCATGAGTTTGTATGTCGGTTTCAGACTTTCAGTTAAAAAGTTTGGTTTAGGAGAGAGGTTATTTCAATTTACTTACCTCAAGAAGAACATTCTCTTGACTGTTTAGTACCAACTCATCAAAAGTCTTTCCTACCACAGTCACTATGCTTGCGTTTTCCTGCAGTTTTCATGGGGTTATATGAGCTTGGCTCGCATATGGTCTCAAATATATCCCACTAAGAGGAGTATAATTTCCATTACTCACATTATCTGGAACTGGCTCTGACCTATAGTACTGCGGTAAGGTTCCATCCGCAAGTCCTGAACAAAAATGCTAATTTGCAAATCCGAGACAGATCACTTAAGTCAGTTACTATCTGAGTACTTGAAAATAAAAATACATAGAAAGATTAAAGAAACATATTGTACTTCTATATTGCTTGGTGATGGATCTGACTCGAGCAAATACTTGGAGTTGAGTTTGTTATCGAAAGCAGCAACCTGTTTAAGAAAACAATAGATTAAATCCACAATGACTTGTAGCTTTATGATCAGTAGATCATAGTGTGTCAATCACGCAGACCGGAACATGCATAAGAAACTCACAACAGTTTTGTTCGCATTCTCTACTCCGAATAAGGTCAAAAATGGCATCGCAAGGTTCTCATTTGTTATATCAACATATATAAACATAAGCTGCAAGAGAAAATGATGGAGTAACCGAGTAAGTTAAGAGAGATTCTGAAGAACTAAATCTATCTGACCTTTTAAGACTCAGCATCAGAAATACCTTCGAGTTAAACTTTCTTGCAAAATCTTCAAGGGAATGAGCCATATTCTGAAAGTCATCAGCCTTGGCAAAGATCATAACCTAACCAAGGAAGTAACAAGACTACGATTAAAACATATCCGCAAGCACACAAGGATAGAACCGAAACTGGTAACAGGTACAAACTGAAATGATAAAAAATATCAAACCTGAAGCTTAACAGGACTGGAGTAAACCCAAGCAGTATTGCTTTCACTCAATTTTGTAATCAATGGAAACTTGTTCTTGCCAAGAAACTCCAATATCTTCTCCATTTTGTAAGATCCATCTACATGAACCACAACAAGACTTGTCATCATGATTCCCAATAAACCATCACAACAAAAACATCTTAACAAAAGATTAAACATAAAGACTCGTTATAATAACAAGAAAAAACTTCCACAGTCAACAGAAAGCTTACCATATGCCGTGTACCTTTCCGCCTCAGTTTTAACCATCCCAATAAACACATTACTGGTTTTGAGCTCAGGAAATAGAAGTCTCGCAACATCGTTATCACTTGTTACAACAAACTGGATTTCATTGTCTAATTTTGCAGCTTTGACAAATTCATTATACTCAGAACCCTAAACAAAGAAACAAAAAGATATCAACAGTTAAATTAAAACATAACTTCACAGTATAGTGAATTCAATACCCAAATACCTCAAACTTGTTGAACAAACCAACAGCAAAAGTATGATACTTTTTCAGAAACCTCTGAGCTTCATCAACTGTATTAACTGTAATGATTGGTGAACCAGTCTTCTTCTGCACCCATATGACTATATCCTCTCTGAACATAACAAACACATTCACACCAACAAATCCCTCAGAAAAATACCATTAAACCATCATATCAAAAATACCACAAAACAACTTTTAATCCCTCAGAAATACCAATAAAAAACATTTCAAAATAACACAAAACCTCTGTTAATTCCTAAGAAATATCATTAAACATCATTGCAAAAATACCACTTTTAATCACTCAGCAATTCCATTAAACATCATTGCAAAAATGCCACAAAAACCTCTGTTAATTTCTAAGAAATATCATTAAACATCATTTCAAAAATACCACTTTAATCCCTCAGCAATTCCATTAAACATCTTTTAATCTCTCAGAAACACCAATAAACCATCATATCAAAAACACCACTAAACCCTTACTAATTTATCAGAAATACAATTAAACATCATATCAAAAATAACACTTTTAATCTCTCAGAAATATCATTAAAAATCACATCACAAATACCACAAAACCTAATCTCTCAGAAATACAATTAAACATCAAATCAAAAATACCACAAAAACCTCTTTCAAATCTCTACACATCAAGAAAACAAAACAACTTACGCTGAGAATCCACCGGTGTACGCCTGAGAAGTCCCATTAACAAAGAGAAGAAGCGTAGGGAAACCCCTAATCTCCATCTCCGAGGCAACCTTCGCATACCTATCCCCATCAATCTTCGCCATCACAATCCCACTACCGATCTCCTTCAACGCCGTCGCAGCCTCCGAGAACTTCGGCATCAGATCCGCGCTACGCGCGCACCAAGGCGCGTACCCCAAAACCATAACGAACTCGTTCCCGCCGATCACTCGCTTCGCGTTGTCGCCGCTGAGCTCAAGCACGATCCTCTGCGCCTTGGAGACGGTCTCGGCTTCGGATTGTTGGTTGAGAGGGAGATCTTGTTGAAGCTGCTCGTCTACGGCGAGGAGCTGTTCGAGATCGTCGGATTCTTCGTCGGATCCGGGTTGGGTATCGGAGTCGGGGGATGAGTGGGAGGTGATGAGTAGGGAGGTGGTGAGGAGTAAGAGGAGGGTGAAGGTGGAGAGTGAGGGTTTTGGATGAATCGACATTGTTGTGAAGGTTGAAGAGAGATTGATCGGAGAAGAGAAGCGGTGGTTAGTCAAAAATGAGGAAGAAGACTAAAATCTCAACGGGATTTACGGCGGGGAGGGGGGTATGAGTGAATTCTTATGGGCCCTGGACTTTCTTAATGGGCCTTATCATACCAACAGTACACACACCGACACTTTTACGACGAAGCTTTTTTTTTGGTCAGCTTGTTTACGAGGAAGCTAAAGTGCTAGTCATTATGCCTCTGTAAGTTTTTACCCCAAACCAAACTCCCTACTTTAACCCTTTTATAGATTGGTTATAATTCGATCTAAACCGAATCTAGAAGAAACTAAACCGAATCCAACATGATAATTAGTAAAACCTGAATGAGATTTATAAATCTAGTACCAAAAATCCGAAAAATCTAAATAAACCCAAATTTATGAAGTATAATAGATGTTCAGAATTTTGAAGTATTCATGAGCAGTTTTCTTTGGTTTAACAACTTAAATTTGTTAATTATATGTGATTCAAATACATATATAATACATATGAAAATAAAAGCAACAAATAGTATAGTAAAAATAACTAGAAGACAACAATAAATCCAATATAGTAACTATAGAGACACTTTTCCTTCAGGGATCTTCTTTATTAATAGAATAACAATTCTATTAATTTTTTTTGTGAGTTATATTTTTGTCATATCATTAACATCATTTTCTTTATTGTATTACATTGAGCTTAATTCAAATTAGAATTATAGATATTCTCCGGGTAGTTACCAATGTATTGATTTAATCCTGAGAATAAAAAACTAAATTAACTAACTTTTAGCTATTGTAAAAATATAGCCCTACAACAATTAAGGAGAGAGTTATATGGATAGACACAATATGACTTTGTGTATCACTAAAAGACACATAGTGAAATTGAGACACATTATATGGATAGCTGTATTTTTTGTGACAAAGTTAACCCTACTTTTGTTTACAAAGAAATATGTTGTAATTAAGTTTATTCTAAGAGACTGAACCAGTGTCTCTCTCCTCCACTTCCATTATCACTATTCCTCTTTCAATCAACACCTACATCATCATCTTGTATCCACCACCGCCACCTCCTCCACTCTCTCTTTCACTTATGTTACCAGCTTTGTTTTAATTACAAAACCTCTGTTATAATCACCATTTCCATTATTTTCTCCACTTTTTGACCATTTTTGTATCCACCACCGAGAGCTCTGTCTGCAACTTTTCCATATCAATATATCCACTGACCACAAGATCTCTATCCACAAATCTTCCGAGCACATTAATAACATCCATAAATACACATTGACCACCACTGCCACCTAATCACCACATCCATTATCTCCTTTACTTCTATTACCATTTTTCGTATCCACCACTGAGACCCTAGCTGCAGCCCTACCAGTCACATCAACAACATCAACACAACTACTGACCACTGACCACGAGATCTCCGTCCACAACTCTTCCGACCACATTAATAACATCCACACACACATCGACCAAGAGTGCCACCAGTCACCTTCATAACCACCATAACCTCTCTCTCTCTCTTCCATCTCCACCTCTTTCACAGATTCATCTAGATTTAGGAATTTGAAGAGAGAAAATTTAGAAATTTAAACCACGGTCTCTCTCCTTCGTCGTTGTTTCAATGGTGGGATTTTTAAAATCAATTAATAAAAGGTGTGAAGGCGAATTGTTGTAACAGATCGAGTGGAGGTTCTGCAAATCTTTGATATCGGTTCATTGCTCATGTAGGAAACTGATTTTGAGTGAAGGATCTGAAATTTTTTTAATATTTTCTGGTTATTGATTTGCCATCACCATCATATAAAAGGAGAAAAAGAGAAAAAGGAGAATTATGATTAGGGATTATAAATTGAAGAAGGTAAAGTGATGAGATAAGATCTTCAAAATTTGGAATAAAAAATTATAAGGAAGAACATCTGCTTTGCAAGTAACGAGAGAGATATGGTTGAAAGGGTATAATAGTCATTCAACATAAATAAAGTGTGTGTCTTTCAAAAAGTGTCTATTAGCGTAATTGAAAACTCATAAAGTGTCTGTGAGTGTAAATTTCTCACAATTAAATTACATCTTTTACTCCATATTGTTGCTTTTTCTATGAAAGTTTCCATGGTTTCAACGATAGATCATATTTATCTATACTTTCATAACAAATATATTTTACCAAAATATAGAATTTTAAACTTGTTTTGGATGTTGTTGTATTCCTGGTTTAATCATGTATCTTTTTCAACAGGTCTTGTAATTTTCTTGGATCTCAAACTCGTTGATCAAGGTACCATCGAACGCAAAATAGAAACAATCGTGTAATCAAAATTTGACAATTTGTTGTTAAACTGACATCACATCGGATCTTTTCCACCATGGAGATGAAAAAATATCTGAATGGAATTCCTCTAAAAAAAAGTTTCATTCCGACATCATTATTGAATTCTAGTAACCTGTTATGTATGTGATGTGGTGCACGTCTTGTCGATATTGCTTCAAACGAACTCAAATTTTGAAGATACCCAAACTCTGATAGAGAGTTATCATCATCAAGCCATCCTTCACATGCATGGTTATAAGAGAAAGAAACATAAGAAGACGATGTACCCATCTTAGGATAAAGACCATTAGCATGGCCATTGTCAACATCAAGATCACCATGCTGATTCCCGGAACGGAGAAGCATCAACGGAACCCTCTTAATGTCTTTGATCATAATTTGATCAGAATTTGATCAATGGAAAAGAGAAAACGATCGCATCTTTGATCGCCAACTAACCGCACACGACACACTAACCATCTTTTGTCAAGGCAACTTAATGTTTCTCTGTAAATCATTTAGAGAATCAATTCTTTTTTTCTTAAAAAAAAGATTATTCTTGATCAGTTTTATTTGTCTAGATCTAGTAGTTTTTAATCTGTGTCTGTTTAACAATTATTATTTTTCTTCTTTTTGAGAAAAAATATTTGAATATTTGGCGAATATTCAATAAAATTTGGTGGCTCATCAAATTTGTGATGCGGTGCAGCATATGTTGCAATTTTGGTCCTTGCAACATATTTCCATCGGAATATTAGAGCAATGGAGATTGCAACTCTGGAGCTTTCAAAAAAATAAAAATAAAAATATTTATATATATAGGGATAATATTAATTATAGATCTTTTATTTTTACAGGATATTTTAGATTGAATTTCTTATAAAATTAAAAACTTTATAATTAATATATTAGTATCAATATATATATATATATATTATATTGAAAACTCCAGAATTAGAATTTCTACTGAGAGTGATATTATGGCCCACGGATTGCAAACAGCGTCATCGAAGAACATAAATATCAGTCACAGACGACTCATACATAGCTAATGGTGGTCTTTTGAGTAGGGGTAGGCACGGATCGGATATCCGGGTTTTCGAAAGTATTTGTGATTTGTTTCGTATGTTACGGATATCTGATTTTGGTATTTGCTTTGCTTCGGAAAAATACGGATATCCGGAAAAACGAATATCCGGAAAATAAACAGATATTTGCGGATATTTACGAATACTTACGAATATCTCATCCATTACAAATAATCTTATATAAATTTATTTTGTAAATTTTTTTTACATGATATATAAAATAAAAAATAAAAAAGTAATGAATTTACATATTTTATAATTTTTATGTTTAAATTAACAACTATAATAACACAAAACTTAAGATTTTTTTTTATAATTTTCATAATTTTTCTATTCTTTTTATCTAATAGTTTTATATAAGTAATAATGTGAATCTAATTAGTCAAATCATTAGCTATAATAATAATTTTATACATTTAAAATTTTAAATATTATCAAAATATACATATATTTATATATTTCCGGATCGGATCGGATCGGATATCCGCTTCCCAAAATTTTAATATTTGTGATTTGCTTCGATTTTAAGGGATATTGATTTTTAGTATTTGTTTTGATTCGAAAGTTTACGGATATCCGGAATTTTCGGATCGAATTGAAACGAATAACAAATCGAATCAAATTTAACGAATAAAATGCCCAGCCCTACTTCTTAGTAGTGGATACTTAATATTTAAATTTTAAAGTTACAACTATAGCATTATTTTCAAATTCAAATTTAAACCGTTTGAATTAAGTTTTATAAATACTTTTGAAACATCAAGTTTAGCTAATCACGATTTTTAATTCACACGTACAGCAGTATGTACTTGTAATTAATTATGCATTTCTCCATGAATCCATCGTTATCCATTAAAAATCAAAGACAAAAATACATGGAAACACGTAAGAAAGAAACGCATATTACTCAAGATGAGTCATTACACCTTTAAAATAAATAATTATCTGTCATTAATCTTTCCAAAATATCAGCTTTGTTGCCTTTTTATAAGCTTCGTCATTTTCAACGTTTTGACTAAATTGAAACAAATTCCTGAGTTCAAACATTAAAGAACACAAACAGTTACTTTTGTGTTCGTGCCATTGTATTTTCCTTTTTTTTTTGGATATCATCAAAGATCCCGTGAGGAAGCATCGTTTCAATCTCAGTCAAGAAAAACGACAAAGGATAAAGGTTAGGCACATTTTCCAATAATTTTCGCAATGCTTAAATAGGAGTAGACATATTTTATCTTCGTATGGGCTTTTCTTGAAAAGTTATTAAGGGAATCTTTTTCAAACCTTGTGTCCTTTTGGTGTCTATAAAGATTTGGTTGTCTGTCTTTTTTCTCTGCAGATTATCTGAAAACGTTTTTGAGAGAGAAAGAGAGAAAAATCGAGAAGATGTTGGAAGGAAAAGCAATGGTGGAAGATTCAGACATGCCAGTGAAGATGCAGGTTCAAGCCATGGCTTTGGCTTCTCAAGCTCTTGATCTCTTTGATGTCGTTGACTGTAAATCCATTGCTGGCCACATCAAGAAGGTTCCATTTTCTCCACTTCTATATCACCCAGCTCTTAC